GCCACCTCGTGACCTCCACCTCTCACCAACTACAGCTCCACCTATCGACTTCCAGCCTCCACCAAATGAGCAATCTGACCTCGAACCCTTAGCATTCGACCTGGCGCTCCCACCTCCACCCGTCGACGTCCAGCCTCTACCAGTTCGACACTTCGACACTTCGACTTCCGACCGCCAGCGCCTGACTTCCCACTGACACCTCCACCTATTGACCTCCAACCACCAGCTCAGCAAGCCGACCTCCAGCCTCCAACAACCGACCTCACACTTCCACCTCTATCCATCGACTTGCATCCTCCGCCAGCTCAGCACTTCGACCTCCCAGCAGCAACATCTGACTTCCCACTCCCACCTCAACCGGCAGACCTCCAGCCTCTACCAGTTTAGTAAGCCGACCTCCAGCCTTCAGCATCCGACCTCGCGCTACCTCTTCCACCTGTCGACTTCCAGCCTCCACCGGATCTCTAATCACCGGCATATGACTTCCCACTTCCACCTCCAAGAGTTCGTTCGTGTCTCCTCCTCAACACCAGCATCGATGCGGCCTTTCACCACTATCCACAAAAATGTGAGAAGCCTCACGACAGACGACACTATAGAGGTCCTTCTGCGAGAACCCGATGGCTTGGATTGGGACGCGCCGGCAATCAACGAGACTTGGAGGACCGAGCCCCACGAAATGTGGTCGACTAAATCCAGGGAGCATGCGTTCGCTGGGTCAGGCCGTGCCACCACATCACGTGGTGTAGCTTTTTTGATCCACCACAAGCACACGAAGCACAGAAATAGCTTCCCAGCAATCAACGAACGAATCGCCTACATCGACCTCGACCTCCACATCCAAGACTTCATAGTCATCACGGCGTCTTTTCATTCCGGCTATGTTGACACACGCGTGCAGACTACGCGCGACCATTTGGCCGCGATCCGCGCCGACGCAGGGAAACGAAGGCGCGCGAGCATCATCGTTGGGGATTATAATGCTCAAGTTGGGAAACACCCCGCTGAGAACGACAACGACGACGACTGCACCAACGGGGGCATCACAAAAGACTCCGTGGGCAGATTCGGATTGGGAGTGAGAAGCCCACGAGGGAGGTGGCTCAGAGCATGGTCGAATGCTCAGAGACTTGTCATCGCAATACCTTTTTCTACAAACACCATCGCAACGTATATACCTGCACGCCAAGCGGTGAGAAGACAAGCCAGTTCCAGATGTTTTACTTTCTTATCGACGGGAAGCGTCGCACCCTCACGGACGATTCGTATGCCTCCGACATGCTGGATCTCGGGTCTGACCACCAAGCTGCATTCATGAAGTTACCCCTCAGGGCAAGAACGACGAAAGAGGGAAAACAGAAAAAACAACGCCGTCGCATCGTTGCCGAACCGACCACTGGCGATCAGCTATACGAACGGCGCCTCCAACAACAACTTGGCGATTATTCGGACTGTGCAACCCTTGGCGACAGATGCAAACATCTCGGGGAAGCGTCAATGAACGCCCGCGACGACTACCAGCAGCACCATAAGCAACCGCGACAAGACCTCACAACAGACATCGGCGATAGCGCATACACGTGGCTCCAAACATTCATCGACCTGCGACGCAACTCCGGACCAAAAGACAGCCTACAGAGCAATGATCAGCAAACGGATCAAGAGACAGATATGGAGTATCAAAAGAACCGAACAGGACACCAAGCTTAAGGAGATCGTTTGCCAGTTCAGGGGCTTGAAGAATATGTTTGTTTGAAGACAAGCAAACACAAAGACATTATCCAATCAATGACGACATCAACTGGAAGCGAAGAAACCGACCGACAAGGCATTGCAAATGTATTCGCAACTTTCTATGAGCAGCTTTACAAGAACCCGCGCAACACGGACGGTGCCGACGACGCCGCTGAAGAATTGCCGAGCGACGCAGCCATTCCTCATTTCACCGCTGAGGAGCTCGACGCAGCAATTCGCCAGCTCAAGAAAGGCAAGTGCAAAGACACCGCGGGGCTCACAGCAGAACTACTCAAGGCAGGTGGCAATACCATCCAGCACCACCTTTTGCAGCTCTACAACGACATCATCAAGCAGTGGAAACGCCGCCACCAGACCCCGCCGCCCCGATCAAACGACATCGTCACGACACTACCACGACAACAGTCCCCGCCAGACAAGTGGAAACGCACCGCGATCTCTGTGATCCATAAATCGGGTGACCCACGGCCCCCAAACACCTACATACCGATTGCCTGAATACCATTACTATATAAATTCATGTCTCGCCTCCGATGCAACAGGTTAGCTGCTTGGTTTGATTCCCAACAACGCCCCGATCAGGCGGGATGTCGCGAACATCATTGTACAGAAGACCACCTTTTCACCGTTACCATGGTGCACGCGCATTCTTATGAATGGCAGCTACCGCTCTGGGCAGCAGCAACCGATTTCAAGAAAGATTTCGACTGCGTAGACCACCGACGCTTTTGGATAGCGCTTCGACGGTAGCACATCCCCGTCGCATGCGTAAGCTTTCCGGAGCAATTATACCAAGACCAGGCAGCAACAATAAAGACGGACACCAACAGCAGAGCCTTCAACATCGAGCGGAATGTCAAGCAAGGAGTTCCACTCAGCTCCTTCCTGTTCAACGCGGTGCTCGAGCACGTCTCCAGACAACTGAAATCTGGATGGCTTCGCAAGAAGTGTGGGGTCCAAGTTGGTTCTGCACCCCAAGGCCGGATAACCAACTTACGTTTCGCAGACGATGAGCTACTCTACGCACCCAACCTTCGGCAGCTAACTTGCGTATTGCGCGACGTACGACATGAAGCGGCGAAATGTGGATTAAGGCTTCGCCCTGACAGAACCAAGATCCAAACAAATGTCAGTCGGAGAACAGGAAGAACCACTCCTCATGTAAACGTCGACGGCCAGATTTTCGAAATCCTGAACTCCGAGCAGAACGCGAAGCACTTGGGAAGGAAGCTGACGCTCCACGCGTTTCACGAAGTTGAACTTCGGAACAGGATTGCTCTTTGTTGGGGGCGCTTCACCCGTCTGCGATGCGAGCTGACGAACAAACGTTTTCCTCTCCACAGCAGACTGAGGCTCTTCAACGGGACAGTCACACCTTCTGTGATGCCCGGATGCTGCTCGTGGACCCTCACGAAGGACATGCTCAACACCTTACGAAGAGTCCACCGGACAATGCTCCGATTCATTATTTGAGCTCCGCGACGCCGTCAGTCACGCAGCACGCCTGCGACGACTACCAAGACAATTCAAACAGCAGAAGAGACAGAAAATTAAATAGTTGCGTTGATGGTGCCCGCCGTCCAACCGCCTCTCGGTGGAAGCAGTGGTGTCGTCCAACGCCACATCAGACACAGTCGCGCGAAGATCCGTCCGACGAGGCTCCGTCGCCCACCCCATCACTGACAGAGTGTTCCTCGGGAGCCTCGGCACGATGACCACCGGCATCACCCACCGAGGAGGAAAACTGTTCGAGCTCGCCTTTGAGAAGCGCAATCGTGCAGTTCATGTCTTCTGTCAAGTGTTGGCATTTTGTTGCGAGCTGTTCGTCATAAACACGCTGCGATTCAGCGAGCAGGTCGGGGATCGACGTCGCGAGCATGGTGGACGAGGCGAACACCGGTGCCTGTGCTCGAAGAGCGTGCTCAAGCGGCTGTCGCCGAGGAGCCCCAACGAACCGAGGCGCACAGACAGGACGACCATTCAACATGACATCCGCGTTCTCAGTGAACGCGTAACCGAATTCCCGCTGCAATGTGTCCACACATTCGTCAGCTCATGGGTCGGTAGTGTCGCAATAACTAGAATACTGCAGCGAGATCGCGCACCCTACACTTTTTCGGTGACGAGAGGACACGACGGCGCGAATGAACACAAGCACGAAGGCCCGAAAAGTGCTGGCCCGAAGCAGTGGCGAAGAGCTGCAAAAATATGCCAGCCAGTGTAGATACCAATCCGACAGCCTCGTCCATCGCGGGCGAAGACTAAACAAATAAAGAAATAACATGTGCAATATGAAGGAACACGCAGGGGAGCAAGTTTGCTGGAGCCAAAACAAAAGAAAGCCCGTCTTGCGCCACAGCGGCTACGGAGGAGGAGGAGGAGGAGGAGGAGGAGGAGAAGAAGGAAGATGAGGACCCCGGCATCTAGCGCCGTGACGATGTCGTAATCACGACGTCGTGCAGAATCACGAACAGGGCTCTCGACCCCCTCTTGGCGCGCCCTTTTCCGAGACAGATCGACCCGTTGCGGCCCCAGTGTCAGAAACGGCGCAAAAACGTCCATTGTATCCTCCGTCGCGACGCGTGGACGTGGGTATCTGGACCGGCCTCACCACACGGTGTCGAGTCGAGAAGTCGAATCGGCGATCGATCTCAATCGGATTGGCGGAAGTCGGCAGCCAGTTCGGGAGAAGTCGAATCGGCTGAAATCGGCAGAGCGGTAAGGCCTTCTTGAGAAGTCGGAATCCAAATCGGAGTCTCAAGTCGAATCGAGTCGGAATCGGAATCCATCGAACTCGAATCGAATCGGATCTGAGGAAACGAAACGAGCCCTGGACCGGCCTTCGAGCCGCACCTCGACCCGCAGGAGGCCGATCGAGGCATCAGCACTGGAGTAGTGAAGCTCTCGTCGTGCTGTCGCTGCTGGGAAGCTCTTGGCCCCCGAAAACCGATTCGAAACTCGCAAAGGCTCGCAACAACGACCTGAAGAAAGGGAGGAGCAACGAGGACAACGACTCCTGACGCCGTGATGTTCTCGCAACGTGGACCCCCAGAAATCTGGACCCCTTCCTGGGATCCGCTTTGTATCCCGAGCCGTTCTCTGAAGGTCTCGTGGGGCCTGGCAGGAGCCCCTGTGGAAGGCCCACCACCGCCGAAGACCGCCCGCCGTGATTTGCCCCACGACGCGAGGAGGCCGACGGCGGGAGGGAGGCGAGAGCTGCCCTGGGTGACGCGACGCAGGGCGGCCTCCGCCTCCGCGAGGTCCTCCGGAGCAAACCACCGCGAGGGCAAAGGCTGCCCGGCACCGGCTGGCCACTGGCGCATGAGGGTGCGCTGCGACACCTCGGGCGGGCGCGCACGGCCCGCGGCCCCGCGGCGCCCGCAGAACCCCCTGTTATGCACATGTCCCTTCAGTCTCAGCCTCATGTGTATGATTGTCTCTCTCTCTCTCTCTCGCACTCTCTCTCAATCGTTGTGTGTACACACTTGTTCCTTTCGCTTTAGACGTGCGAATACATAGAGAGAGAGAGAGATGTGTGTGTGCATACGTGTATATATATACATACATACATACATGTTTAGCAAGCGTGAACCCAAAACTGTGACCTCTTGCAGTCTATGCGGTGTAGTTTACCTGGGTGGTGTAATCAATGCTGCGCATTCTAGATGCAATCCGTGTGGCACAAAGCAACGCAAGTCAACGCATAGCATTGCAAGTCAATGCAACACAACGCAATGCAATGCTAGGCAACACACTCTACGCAAAACAATGCAACGCAATACATAACAATGCACAGCAATGCACAGCAATGCACAGCAACGCACACCAATGAACAACAATGCAGAGCAATACAAAGCAATACAAAGCAAAGCAATGCACAACGGTGCAATTTAAAGCAATGCAAGGCAATTCAAGGCAATACAAGACAATGCAAGGCAATGCAAGGCAATGCAAAACAATGCAAGGTAATGCAAAGCAAACGGGGCGGCGACGGGGCGACGTCGGCGGCTACACCGCCGCCCAATACGAAGCGGCGACGGGGCGGAGACGGCGGCTACATAGCCGCCGGACCAACACCCAGGCCCAGGTCCTTAGGCAGGAAGCAAGACCCCTTGAGTGCAAGCACTGTTTGGGGAATATAAATATGTAGACATATGCGTACATATGTGTGTGCGTGTGTGTGTGTGTGTGTGTGTTCCCCCCCTCTCTCTGGGTCTAGTGCGCCTATCAACTATGCAATAGCGCATCACTTTACTGGCGAGAACTAGCGAGAACTGCATGCCTGAAGTGATCCCAACCGGCCAGTCGTAGCTGAAACAATTATGAACGGTCATTACCCGATGCAGGGGAGATGAACCGGCCGGCGGATTGCTCGCAGCATGTCAGCTCTACGGCTTCACGTGCATGGCCTCATCAGCAGGGGCAGGGGCGGTCATGCATTTGCATTTTGAATTTCGCTGGGGGTCGTGTTTTGATAGTCCCACGGGCCGTCCCCGGGTACCAGAACCATCAAAACACGACCTAGCGCGACAAGCCGACCCCTCTGAAGGGGCGGACCTGGGGCCGACCAAATCACGACGTCGGAGGTCCGGGCCTGCGAGCTCTCATTCCTCCTCGCGCTGAAGTGCTGCGTACATGGGCCATCACAACAGAGAAGCTGCAATCACACAGGACCGAACGCGGAAGAATTCGACCACGCACTGGTGCATGCGCGAACGGCCGCCGTACACCACTCCACACGAGGAGGAGGGCTGGACAGACACGCGGCCACCTGTGTATGCAACTCTCGCCTGGGCCTGCCACGTCACGTGCACCCAGCGTCATAACCGTTTAGCGGCCGCCAGGAAGTATATGGAGTGGACGTGCTCTTGGGACGCGAAAGTCTCGCTGGCAGGTTGGAGGTGCCGCTTGCCGCTTGCTCACAGAATACCCATTGGTGTTGATCACCCCGTGATGAAGACGCCATGTGGCGATGCTCCCACATGCTGCAGGGCCCTGGGAAATGCAAAGGAAGATTCCACAGAAAAACCCGAGGCAAGCCCTATCCCTGAATGCCGGCAGGCACTTGCCACGAGCAGATTTCATGGCGGGCGGGGCAAGTCAAGGGTTGTTCTCGTCTTCCCCTCTTCCTCCTCCACCAGCTAATGATGCCCCTCCTCCTCCTCCTCCTCCTCCTCCTCCTCCTCCTCCTCCTCCTCCTCCTCCTCCTCCTCCTCCTCCTCCTCCTCCTCCTATGGCTGCTGCGTCGCCTCATTCTCCGTTCCCCCATCCTTCCTGCTCCGCTTCCTTACCGTCCCGCTACTGCCACGACGGCGACAGCGGCGGCAGCGGCGGCGGCAGCGACGGAGATGGCGCAGGACGCCGACGACGACGATGACCACGACGAGGACGAGGACGAGGACGAGGACGAGGACGAGGACGAGGACGAGGACGAGGACGAGGACGACGACGACGACGACGACGACGACGACGACGACGACGACGACGACGACGACGACGACGACGGCGGCGGCGGCGGCGGCGACGGCGGCGGCGGCGGAAGCTGCAGCGGCACCGACGGCGGCGGCGGTGCTGGAGCCCGTGGCGCCTTGTCCTCCAGCCAGACCAGGTTCTGCACACGCCGGGCGAAGGTCAGAGCGCAGCGCCACCTCGGTGGCGAGCGCCAGGGCGCCCCCCCCAGCTGGTGCTCTTGTCGCACTTGATCTGCGCTGTCAGTGAGCTGTTTGGTAACGCCTCCCGTTATTGCTCGTCGTCGTCGTACTCGCGCGGCCCTACTGGGATTAACAGCCCTACTCGCGGCGCACGAAATCAGCCGATCTGCCGATGGGTTCGTTCGATCGGCCGCTGCGCGAGATGGCTGCGACAGCTGCGGCCACGCCGGGCCCACTCGTTGAGGGGATGGGCGGCGCCGCGCATGGGACGGCCGCGGGTGCCAGGGGTGCGGCTGGCACGCTGCGTGTGGTCGCGGCGGAGAAGCTGGTGCCGCTTGCAGCTGCCTCCGAGGGCGGGCACGGCAAGCTCGCCCTCGCATCGCGGCTGCAGCGCCCACCCCTTTCCAGGCTGGTGCGGGGCCAGCGCACCGGAGGCGGCGCGCTGGCGGCAAGAAACTCGGGCGCACACACTGGGCTGAGGGAACGAGCCGCGGCTCTGGCCACGGCGAGCGCAGCGTGGCGTGGTGGGCGCGCGGTACGCGAGTGCCAGGAAGCTGATGAGGCCCCAATTGCGCGCAGCGGGGCCGCCTGGCCCACGCGCCCTGGGCGCCGCAAAGGCCGGCAGCCCCAGCGGCGACTGCTCTGGCTTCGGCGGCCGCGGCAGCGGGGCGGTGCTTTGGCCTGTGTGGCCGTGGCGACATCGACCGGCGCCGAGGGCGGCGGCCGCCGCGACACGGGTTCCCACGCAGGCTACCGCTGCTGCCTGACATGCGGTCTGCGCCGACTGCGAGCGGGCCGAAGAGCTGCCCAGCGACGAGGCGGCTGAGCAAGGCAGCCGTGTGTCGCCTACGATGTGGAGCGGAGGTTCCCCGCTCAGCGGGGCAGGCGCCTTGCGGGCGAGAGCAGCGCCCTCGATCTGGCCGATCGTATGCGGAGTGAGCTGGTGGTGCGGGACAAGGCCCCGAGCTTCGGGCCTCCGCTGGTGTTCGAGCGTCGCTGCAACAGTGGGATGGCCGACGAGAAGCAGGAGAGGAACTACCAGCAGCCAGCCAGACAGCGTCTTCGACTCAGGAGGAGCTTTACCTGAGGCAGCGGGGGACCAGCAGGGCACCAGGGACTTGAAGGCGGCGCTGCTGAAGGAGGCTTGCTTCTGCGACTCGCAGGAGCGCTGCCACGGCCAGCTGAGCAACGACCAGCTCCGGGACTTGGAGCTGGAGCACCGCGACGGGAATCAGCAGAGCCACGGGGAACAGCTGGGCGCCAAGAACTTGCAGATCGCCAGCGGCAACCAAGATGACCAGCGAACTGCTGAAAGACGGCTTCGGCCGAGAACTGCCGTGAGGATGACCAGCGAACTGCTGAGAATGACCAGCGATCTGCCCGAGGGGGGTGCGGGACCACGTCGTGCAGCCTTCGCAGGGAGCCCCAGGGGAGAAAGCGGGTCTGCGGTGGCGGGGAGCAAGTCCGCGGGGGGGCGGAGGTCGGCCTTGGTGACCCGCAACTGGCCAGGCTACGGTGACCAGCCGCAGGACCTGAAGGAGCAGGGAATCCTCGACGACAACACGCAGAGAGCCACGGCCCACGACATGTCGCATGAGCAGCAGCACCCCGACAGGGGCTCGTCTACGGTCAAGAACATCGCGTGTCGCAGCTGCGGCCCCGGCGACTCGCTATGCCCTGGGAGCGGATAGCGTGTCGCTCCCCTCCGCGGGGCGGGAGGCTGGGAAAGGCTCGAGACGTGGACGGACGGGAATGGAGACGTGGATAGCGTGTCGCGCCCAAGCGTGGTGGGCCAGAACCGGCTGAGCAACGCGCTAAACCAAAGTTCCCGACCGTGATGCCAGGGAGCTGCTGCTGGCCATCACAAAGCAGGAGACCTCCAGCGGCGCCCGCCCTTCAGTCGCGCGCGAGGGGTGCCGCTCCGCTCGGCGCGCGGTGCCTCACCGCCCGCGCGGTCGAGCGGGCCTGCGGCGCAGGTCCTCCTCCCGCTCGGCCTTCTGCTCCTCGCCCGGCCTGCTCCTCGTTCGGCCTGCTCCGTTCTTTCATCGGACGGTCCTCCAGCTCCTCCTCCTCCTCTTCTTCCTCCTCCTCTTCCTCTTCCTCTTCCTCTTCCTCTTCCTGCCTCCTTGTCCTCGCCTCGTCCTAGTCCTCGTCTTCCCCTTTCATTTCCCTCCTCCCTCAAGCCTCCATCGTCCCCCCTCTACCTGCCTTTCCCCCGCTTCCCCCACCCGAGTCCCTCGTTCCCCGACGTATCGCCGTAATCCTCCGGTCTCCTTCTACCCGTCCCACGCTTCCCTGCTTCCTTCGTGCCGCACGGTCGCGGCCCGCTTACGTGCTTAGGGAAGCGTCACTTCGAGCAACCCGTTCTCCTCGTGCTGCGCCTCATCCTCCTCGCAACACTGGGTTGTGGCACTCTCCCAGCAGCTGTGAGCTCGACTCGGGCCCTCGAGGACGACCGAACCGAGCCTCCTTCTTCATCCCTCTTCCTCATAATAACTCCTCACTGTCGCATCCCGAGGCGGGTCGGTAGGGCGGGTGGGGCGTTTCGCCCGTGATCATGAAGCTTGAAATTTGCAAGAGCTTCACGGATGGCACTTTCAACATGTGGTTTTCGCCTCAGCATCGCGCGCACTCGTCTTCAAAGTTTGCACGAGCTTCACGGATGGAGGACGGGCCGTTTTCAAAATGTGGCTCTCGCCGTAGCGTCGCGCACATTCGCCTTCAAAGCTTCCACGAATTTCACAAGTGGAGGGCGGCTCTTTTCCAAATTGTGGTTCTCGCCTGAGCGCCGCGCACATTCGTCATAACAGTGTGCAGCATAATCACATATTGTGATGGCTGACGTCCCAGCAGCGGTGTTTTGGCACAATTTGAGCTTGTCAGGGCGCGACAGTCACGTTGATTCGCGATGTTGACGCCCGAGAAGCGGTGTTCTGGCACGATTTAGGATCGTCAGGTCGCAGTAGTTACTTTGATTCGCGGCGTTGAAGTTCCAGGACTGGTGCTTTGGCGCGGCTTCAGGTTTCCAGCCAGTTGTCTTCCAACGGGGATCTTCTCGCAGTGACGAAAAAACAACCTTATAGGAGCCTGTGAAAAAGGAACTTGGAGGAATGATGTATTGCAATAGCGTTGATGGGTCATGGATTTGCACTGGTTCTCCTCCTCAGCATCGTCCTTCTCCTGCTCCTGCTGGTGCGCCACCCCCTGCTGCTCTCCCTCCCGCTCCTGCTGATCTTGATGCCCCTCCCTCCTAGCCCTGCTCATCCTCCCCCCCAATCACCCTCCCCCTTCTCATCCTCGTCCCCCAAATCCCCAACGTCGCGCTGGATCAAGAGACCGATTGCTCCTGGCGGACTGAGGGCGGAGCCAGGCCAGACTGGTAGCAGACCCGGGTGACTTCAGCGCAACCTTTCGGCTTGTCTCGAACTCCCGGGCAGACCCCGAGCGCCCACGGGGGGCACTGGGAAGACCCCGCCATCCGACGACGTGAAAAGAAGACACGCACGATCCTCCCAAGATGCCGCGCCCGAAACTCTCGACCCCGTGTCCGTGGGGACTCTCGAGCCGGATCCTTCCGTGAGGGCCCCGGGGCTCGAGTTGGAGCGTAAAGAGCGAGCTCGTCGCTGTCCTGCCATGGCGCTCGGGCCCCAGAGGAAGGCGACGCCACGCTCTCCCCGCTCAAAGCGCGCGGCGCGCGGCGAGGACGGCTGCATCTCTGCCTCGGACGCGGTCGGTGCTGCGACCGAGAAGACGAGGCCAGGACAGGGACAGCACCAGAGCGGGACACATCGGAGGATCTCTGAGATGCGGCGGCTCTGATCTGTGTCGCCTTCCCCCTCCTCCCGAGGCGCCTTCCCCATCATCTTCTTCGCCGAGGTCAGCGCCGTCGTCTCCAGGGTCGGCGGCACAGGCCGTGAGGCCTTCCCAATCGGAGGATCTCTGAGATGCGGCGGCTCTGGAGGACCTATCGGGCGCCGCGGCCGTTCCAGAGCGCTCCAGCCTGCTCCGAGAGAGTTCTGGAACGCCCCGGAACGGAGGGTATCACTGTCCTAGCCCCGCCCGCCCCGACTCGTGGAGGCGCGGCTAGAGGAGCAAAGCGTAGCTTAAGCATCATTTCTCGGAGGTCCGCGCGGATTCCTTGGATCGGCGCTGGGCCCCCCTTCCCTGGCGCGCGGAGCGCGCCAAAGGTGGCGCTGGAGGCGCCGCTGGGGGGCCCCGCGCCGATCCAAGACATCCGCGCGGACCTCCGAGAAATGATGCTTACGCTGTGCCTGTGCTTTCTCGAGATTCGTGGAGGCGCGGCCGGCTGAGTGCGACTCTTGTACACGGTGCCCCAGGCGCGCCCCTGGAGCTCTGCGGGCAGCGACGCCCCGCAGCCGTCCCAGAGCTCCGCGACGCCCTTCGGGTAGCTCCTAGGCCTCGGCTCGCGCGCGGCCCGCGGGGAGGCTGCAGCGACCTGCCAAAAGGGCGCGCCTTTGGTCGTCGCCGCAGTCCGTGGACGGCCGAGGGCCGGGGCATCGAGGCCCTCCCAGGCTCCATGATCCAATAGGTCCAACTTGCTGACCTTCTGATTGTTGTTGGGCGACCTTTGCGTTCTCGCCTTTTCGGGATCCCGATGCTCCAAGACGGCGCAAGAGGCCGCCAGAATCGCCCGAGGAGGCCCAACGAGGTCCCCAAGACGGGCCCAGAGGCCGTCTCGTGGCATTACCATGGGCTCCTGGGGGGGCGATCCTGGGAGGGGCCGGGGAGGAGCCGCATTTCACCTGCAGGCGAGGGGCAGGTCGCCGAAACTACGCGCTTCGTGCCTCGTGCGAAAGGAGAGGCGAGGCTACTGCGTCCCTGCACGTGCTGTTGGAGAATCTGTTTTCGAGACAGGGGCGTGGATTTATATGGCCTGGTCTGGACACCACGAACATACATTTCATTTATATATTTGCTTAGTCGGGAGGGGAAATTTCAGCATCCGCCGTGTTTCGCCGGCCTTAGGCTGGCGTCCGCCGACGGAACCGCCCTCGTGTTAAGACCGCCAGCCTTCTGCCGAATAAGAGGAGCTAAACTCTCGAAGCTTTCGAAGCCGAGGCCACTTCTGGAACGACCTACAGAGGCTGTGCCCAAAAAGGCTACGCCTTCGACGAATCGGAGGGTTGCTCTCTTGCCTTCGGCGGGCGCTGGCAGGTGGGTCGGCGGAAACCCGCAGAACGAAAACGAAGGTGGCTCCGCAGGCTGAAGCCGGTGGAAAATCGGCGTGAGCCCGCGGAGGGGGAAGAAAGGTAGACCCCGACGAACGCCCGAGAGGGCTTCTCTGCTCCACCTCAACTCTTCACGCCCCTTGTCCCTTTCAGGGCACGCAATTTGCCAACACCTGGGGCACCGGTACATCGGCCACACGTCGATCGCGTGCTGCGTTCCGGTCGCGAACTTCTCCCTCGACATAACGGCCAGCCCGCCAATGTCTGCACAACGCCAGAAGGCCAGACTTCTTGCACTGCGAGGGGGAGACTGTGCCCTCCCCCTCCTCTTCCTCACACCTCCATCAAACAATTGAAACCACGCTCGACGGTGGAAGCAGGACGACACAATATGCTGGAATGTCATGCTCAAGTCGTGCCCCTTCCAGGACGCAACAGAGACAAAGTGACCACTGATGAAATGCATTCTCTCCCCAGGGTGACGGGACACTGGTCCAATGCATGCAGGGGAATGCATGCTCGAGGTCTGCGGAGACAGACGTGGGGAACGCGACGCCCTCTGGCCCCTCCAGGGTCCAAAATCGGACTTTGTGTGATGAGTCCTCGTGTCCCTTCACATTCTGATGATTGCATACTGTGAATCAAATTCATGAGCCCCTGACCCTGGATTTCTGGACTTCTTGTGCACTCTAGGGCTTCCCTGCGTGACTTACCCAGGGGCCTCGGAATCGTGGCTGCAGGTTTCAACCTCCCACCAACCCCAAGATGGCAGAACTTATCGAACGAGTACAACTGTTGTGTGATGTTCGCATTCTCGGAATTCGGTCGGTCTTGCGAGCATCTCGTACGACCCAAGACTGCCCCACGCGGCTTCCTAAGAGGCCCCCTGAGAAGGGCCCAAGAAGGGGAACTCGAACTGACAAGTGGAGCCCTCCACCCCCAGATGGCCCCCGAGACCGCCAGCAGGCCTCCAAGAGCCCCGAGAAGCCCCCAAGAGGCTCCCAGAAGCTCCCCAAAGGCCCCCAAGAGGCACCCAAGGCGCCGCTCAAGAGGCCTCCAAGATACGTCTTCTCCAAGACCGAAGCACCACGACATAATAGACCGAAGGCCACAAGATGAATACTCGACGCTGAGATCCCAATATGTGCATCTCATTGTCTCGGACCTTCCCGTGCGGCCCGAATGCGATGCCTGCTACAACGCGGGGGTCATGACGATGTGGAACGAAACGTCTTCCCTTCCTCCGAAAGGACCACCAATCCTGAGAGGTGCCTAGCAGAGGTGTGCAACGGCGGGGGGGGGGTAACCAGAGCGCTCAACCCAGGCCCCCCTGGCTCTGGCACGCGCGCCGTCCAGAGACATCCACACCACTGAGACTCCGAGCTCCACTGGCTCTCCAGCCGGACCCTACCAGAAGCCAGGGCAAGCGAAAGTCAGTTGAGGCGTAAGCGAGCCCGTGCAATACAGTCAACCAGTGTAGTAAAGACGCACGGTAAGGATGCAACATGATCGACTCACGAATCCGGAAAGGAATATAGAAATGTAACGCATGGCAACGTTTTCAAAGACACCTGATTGGGTGACGGGCAAGTGCAATGCTGATTGTGTCGATCTTGATGTACCGTGCCGAGGGCTGTGCTGTGCTGCGCCGTGCTGGATTGCGATGTGCCATGCCGCGGTTGTGCTCTATTAGCGTCGTGGATCGAGTCTTCCTTTGCATCCGAGTCCTGACCGAAGTGACCTGGATCTTAAGCTCGAGCTGCCTGAACACATAGTAGCTGCCCCAGAGCTACCATGGGGACATGCCAGGAGGACGCGCCGCGAAACGTCCCAAGGGGCGCGCCAGGCGACGTGCCAGGGGACGTGCCATGGGGTCGCACCGTAGGACGTGCCAAGGGGACGCGCTACGGAACGTGCCAATGGATGTGCCACAGAATGTGCCAGGGGACGCGCCACGCGACTTGCCAGGGGGACTCGCCAAGGGACGCCCCACGGAACGTGCCAAGGAACGTGCCAGGTTGCAATGCTGATTGTATCGATCTTGATGTACCGTGTCGAAGTCTGTGCTGTGCTGCACCGTGCTGGATTGCGATGTGCCATGCCGCGGTTGTGCTCTATAGCGTCGTGGATCTTTTTTTGATCTCCACGGACCCACCGCAAAGTGCAGATAACTGGCAGGGCGGGACCTGCCAGCACTGAAAGACCTCGCCTCGGCGAGAGCCGCTTTGGGGAGGGGGCTTCGCGAGTTCCTTTCGGAGCGCCCACTATGGCCCCCTCCCCGCACGGATCGACCCTCGGCTCGGGCTCCCACTGTCTGGCAGACATGCCAGAGACAGTGCACAAAAAGAAATAAACTCGCCAAACAAGAGCCAAGCCTGTCACAGGAGGCGAAAGACAGGCGAGGACAGGCACCAGCTGACCCACAGCTGGAAAAAATCGGCAACGCGGAGAGCGTCCTAAGCGGACAGGCGGTCGCCGCTTAGGTCGCGAGCAGCAACCTATGCCACAACAGCCTGAAAGCCAAGGAAGCAAAGCACGGCCGAGGATAAGATTGAGAACAGAAACTGAAAGAAAAGGAATGGCTCCGAAGGCCAACGCACGAACAAACGGTTCAAGCCTGCCAAAAGAGAAAGGCAGGCGAGAACGCAGAAATTCAATCCGAATCCCCCGACCCCGCCTCCACAGTCCCGCCCGTTCCCAGATCGTCCGCTTCGCAGCGGAGAGACGCAGCAATGCGATTCAAGCACTCCCTGGTGGCTGAGGCCGAGGCGACCACATCACACGAGGACGAGCTGGGCGCAACGCTGCAGGCATGAGCACAGGCAGTGGCTGCAATAGCTGGAACCGTGAAGCTGGGACGCTCTTGCCCTCCAGCGCTGGCAGCACTGCCAGACGGGCCAGAGGGCGCAGAGCTGGAAACGTCTTCCTCCGAAAATTGAGGATTCGAAACCAAATACGAGTTGAAGCGACGCACTAGCGAGGTGTCATCAATTGTGACACCTTTGCTGGACTTGGAGTACTGCGGGTGAATACCCTTGCACAAGGCGGCCCAACCCTGACGGCCCGCACGGGTAGGCTTCTTGCAAACTTCGCCTAGGCCTCTAATCCTGCCACCTGTGGAGTGGCATTTACATTTTAGGCATATGAAAAGCACTGTCTTGTCAGAGCAGTCGAAGGCAACAGTCCTATGCCCAAGAGCGTCTTGCCTTGCCGCATGCAGCTTAGAATCCTGGGGGCACCTTCCAGGGGGGGGCCGTGACGAGCCCCTGTTCCCGCGGAGGCACACCGCACACCTCCAGACGTCAGCCCAGACTTCCCAACGATGGCCTACCTTACTGCGGGAGCTTAAATGCTCAGCAGGAGGAGGAGGGAGATAGGGAACGTCGAGAGAGAGCTTAGGCCAAAGAGGAAGCAAATTAGCCGCAAGGATGCAATAACCCCTGGCCGCTTCCACAAGCTTGTCCACATTGGCAAGTTCGGTCGGGTCAGATGGGTGAAGCTGAAGGGCATGTTTGGCCCCCACATCCGCATCAGCATTTCCACGCCTGAGGAAACGTTCTCTCTCGGAGATGCCCTCCTGGTGCACATCTAAACGAGCTTTGACCTTAACAATACCTTCCAAAAAGCGGCCCTCAAAGTTGTTGGCACACATGATCATTCCTGAATAAGACCTCTTGCCCGAGTACCTCTCAGGCAAGGGCAATGTGCTGTGAGACACAACGTTCGCACAGTCCGAATAAATAGTGGTCGGCAACACCAAGAACTGTGCGGCAACACATCTGGCAGCATATTCAGCCGCCTGAGGCGTCTGAGGCAGATGAGCCCAGACAGGGCCTCTCGCCTCTCCAAGGCACGTGCCATCCTCAGCATTCACTGTAATCGCATAGGCAGCTCTAGACAGTTCCTTGATCGGGTGGCGCTGACAGGACCCATCTATAAAGACGTGCCCCCACATTTCCCCGTTCACTGGGACCCTGGGACCTTCAGGGCTAGGAAGCTCGTCACAATGCCAAACGAACTGGAGGGCATTCGTTCCCTCCTCAACAGGACGCGGCAACACATCAGCGGGATGAGCGAAAGCTCCTCTAGTATAAAGAGCTCGCACATGAGGGTCAGGTTCTGCCTGAGCTGTCCACACAGCGATGGCGTCTTGCACAACTGAGGCCGGGACCAGCTGAGTCCGCGACTCTTGGACTTCCGTCGCCGTGCACTGCCAAAGCCTGTGAAACACTGAGTCGGGCGCAGCAGAGCAGAGGGGACAAAGCGGGTCTACCTGATACCCACATGCCAAGGCCTTGTCCGCAGACCAGATGGCATCACAAGAGCAAGCCCGAATCCAGCCCCTCTGCGCTGGTGAGAACTTCTTACTGACACAAGCAGCTCTGGGAATGTCCAGACACGCCCTGCAATCGAGCCCCCATTTACCCCCAAGATCCCGCTCGAGCCCACGCAGGTAGGCCTCTTTGCACATAGTTTCCAACAATTTGGGAGGAATCAGGCCGAGCTGCAAACGATAACCACGGTCGTCCAAGATAGTGGCATAGTCAACCATGGTCCAACCGAGGCGAAGGAGGGTAAGGCGAAGGGCAGACACGGGGCCCTTAACAGTAGGCCAAGTAACCCTAGGCAGCGCAAACACACTCCTGAAGCCATCTCGGAGCTCCCTATGAGGAATGGACCAGGGGAACTCACGAGTTTGGGCCAGCCAGACCTCTTTGCTCCAACGCAGGATGGGGGCCGAAGCAGCTCGCCAGCACGGGTCCTCCGACAGAAGGCTGACCGCCGTGAGAGACCTACTTTTAGCAAAAGGCCTCACAGTCTTGAAAGCTTGCCGCCTCATGGTTAGGAGAACCTGGTCGCTCACCCCCAGGATGTCCGCCCCATAGGCCCCTCCAGGGAGGGGGCCCGCGGCGAAAACTCTGAGGGCTTTGCGACCAAGGTAACCTGCCTGACTCTTGAGACGACGGGCTTTCCTGCAGAGCAGCGCCACACGGCTCTTGAGCTTCGAGCTCCGCCCTGAGGCCCTGACCGAGGTGCCAGCACAGTAGTCGACTCCGAGGTTCACAGTCGAGGCAGTGAACTTGCCTCCAAACTGTCCCAGGGCCGCAGCCAGCGCGGTGGCCAGGCCTTTGGAGGACGCAACGGTACAAATCTTGTCAAGAGCAAGCTGACAGTTCATCTCATTCTCATCAGTAATAGCATGATGGAGAGCGAGAGAGACGGTAACAATGGACGAGATAACATGTTCTCTGGACCCCGTGCAAGACACTCCAGTATCATCAATATATATGTCAAAATCAACGGAGGGAACAGAGGGGAGCTTATCGAACGAAGACAAACCATAAATGCGTATAAGAGTAGTGGCCATGCTGCAGCCCGCGATGACTCCTTTCCGCACAAAATGCGGCCCATCCAGGAGGCCCGCGATGGAGACAAAGCGGCCACACCTATACGCATAAAGGGTAAGCCTAGTCAGCACAGTCGGGAAATTGTGTTGGTGACAACGCTGCTCTAAAACGTCTAAGTCAATCGTTTCATAATACTTGAGCATATCATAGAAGACGCTGGCACTCTCTTCCTTTCTAGAGGTCCCCGTCTCAGAGCGAAACGATTGACGCCAGACCACATCCGCAGCTCCACGAAACGCCCCCGCAGCCCAGTACCGACGGGGGTGTTGCTGCTCCCAGTGTAAGGCAAAGGGACGCCTGAGGCGTCCCCAGACCCTATACCAGGAGCAGAACACCCCTATCGGTCTGTAGCCACCGCTGGGTTTCGAGAGCAGAGCAAGCAACACCGCAGAGATCTGGCGCGGAAGTTGGCCAACCGACTCCATCAACTGAAAGAGCATGCCAAGCGCGACCAGTCCGTCGTCACACAGAAGGTGATAGTGACGGCAATCAAACCCGTCATAAGTGACAGCCGAGGTTCTCTTATATTTCTTGCTGACAGCCCGCAACTGAGCGGGATCGGCCCTGGGGAGAGCTTCCACCAGAGTGCAAACCTCAGGATTGCCAGCTCCGACATTCCAAAACTTGGCAAACTTGGTGCCTTCGTGGGACAACAGCGAGAGGGGGTCGGCAACAACAGACCCATCTCTGGCGAGGGTCGTGGTAGGGACCCAGGGGGTGGGGTCACGGACAATCGCGTGCACCCGACGAGCCCCTTGATCGAGGCCCTCCGTGAGCCAGGCTCTCCAGTCAGACTGCGCCTGGGACCGATACTCCCCGTTGGCCCCTTCCAAGACAGTGATGAGGGTGCACAGGAGCTCATCACCTTTCACAATTTGCTCAGAAGGGGCCTGGCGGAGATCGCCCTGCAAAGCAGCAGTAAAATCTTTAACACGGCTGAATGAAGTGGCATACTTGCTAGAGTGCCGAGAAATCGCGGGAGGAGGGCTGGCAAGCAAAGCATGCAAGCTGGCGGCCTGGCTCCCACTACCTTGGTCGGCCCGCAGCAGCCCCATAAACGCGCGAAACTGAACCACCAGCCAGCAGATGGCGCGGTGCTCGGGATACCTTGGCTGAGAATCTCGGCCCACTAAGCTGCGCCACACGAGCTGAGGCCCCTTGCTCCTGCATCCTGCCTTCACCAGATCCGCCCCCAACAAGTGGACCAGCTCCTCCTCCGCCTTATCGGCCCACGCTCCATAGGCCGGCGACAAGTGGCTGAGGGCAGCCTCGGCGTCGCCTGCGGCGACAGCATCAAGACCAGCCTGAGCTCGCGAGATCACATGATCCCAGCACGGAGGGGGAAGCATCGGACCTATGACTCGGTCTCTCGGCAGCGGCGGTGGCTTCCTAAAACTGAGGGCCTTGAGGGTGGCAGGGGATCGGTGGAACTGAAGCTCCACGGGACGATGGGGACTAAGCTCCGTCGTCAGATCGATCCAGCAGGAGTCCACGGCTTTTCCCAGCCCCCCACTGCAAACGAAGTAGTCAAGGGTGGAGGGGACCCCCTGACCAAAATGAGTGTGACCTCCAGGAATGATGAGCTGGCCCTGAAGCTGAGAGACAAACTTGCTGCTCTCCAGCTCGCAAGGAGAGACGTTGAAGTCTCCTCCCACGACAAAACTGGAGCAGCATGTAGAAGCACAGGTGCCAACGCAACTCAAGAGCTCGAGATTACGCTCAGTCAAACCTTCCCCATCATGCAGGTAAACCGAAAACATGTGGTAGCTAAGACCACCAGGAACCGGAATGATCCCGTGAGTGGCCCGACCAGGGACGATAGCGTGTCCAGAAGGAGGGGGAAACAGACCAAGCCAGCTTTTCACAAGCAAAGCAGTGCCCCCTGACGTGCCTTTATCCGTGAGAGTAGCTGGGGTCCACAACGATTTCCAGCCATTACGGGCGCACCAGGAGGAGGCCTGAGCAACTTCTTCACTACCCGCCAATCTGTGTTCCTGCACCATCAGGACCGCTGAAGGCGTGTGAGGTAACATCTTCTTAAGGGTACCCCAACTGTTGCAGTTGAGAGTTCGGACAGACAAAGCGATCGAGCTCATCCCTTCAGGCTCCAGGAGGCCAGGAGGGACAGGGTAAGAGCACGGGAGGGGAGCCTGGGAGATCCTGGGGCCAGGCACCACCTCAATCGGGTACTGAGAGCCAGGCGCAGCCAACACTGGGTAAGCTGGGCTAGGCCGAGTCCTGACCGAACTGATCTGGATCTTAAGCTCGAGCTGCCTGAACACATAGTATCTGCCGCAGAGCTAATTGACAGGGGGACATGCCAGTCGGACGCGCCGCGGAGCGTCTCAAGGGACGCGCCAAGCGACATGCCAGGGGACGTGCCATGGAGACGCACCGCGGGACGTGCCAAGGGGACGCCCTACGGAACGTGCTGGGGACAAGCGTTTCGCTCGAGACATCCTGTCAAAATCCTCACTCTAGGCATCCGCCTGAGCGACCTGGACACGTGAAAACAAACGTTTCGCTCAACACATCCTCAACACATTCTGATGCTAGACATCCGCCTGGGCGAACTAGACACGTGAAAACAAATAGTTCGCTCGAGACATCCTCAACACATATTCATGTGAGACGTCCGCCTGGGTGACCTGGGCACGTGAAAACAAGCGTCTCGCTCGAGACGTTTTCAACACCTCCTTATTCTAGACATCCGCCTTGGCGACCTGTACACGTGAAAGCAAACGTCTCACTCGAGACATCCTCAACACATCTTCATCTTAGACAGCCGCCTGGGCGATCTCGACACGTGAAAACAAGCGTACCTCTCGAGACATTCTCAACACATCCTCATGCTAGGCATCTGCCTGGGCAACCTGGACACGTGCAAACAAGCGTCTCGATCGAGACTTCCTCGACACATCCTCATGCTAGACATCCGCCTGGGCGACCTGGACACGTAAAAACAAGCCTCTGGTTCGAGACATCCTCAACAAATCCTCATGCTAGACATCTGTCTGGGCCACCTGGAGGCGTGAAACCAAGCGTCTCGGTCGAGACATCCTCAAGACCTGGGCACGTGAAAACAAGCAATCCACTTGAGAGATCCTCAGAATTCAGGTCCCCAGGAGAGGACAATCTATAACACAAAACAAGCGTTTCGCTCGAGACATCCTCAACACATTCTGAAAAACAAGCGTTTCGCTCGAGACATCGTCAAATTTTAATTCGCCGGCCCTTCGCGACCTCGTTATTCATAGCAAAAGAAATTCGCCGGCCCAGGGGTAAACCTCTAAAAGAGAACCCTGGGCCTACGCCCTTTCCGGGAAAAAGACCTTGGATGGCCATGTCAACACTTTGCGAGCGGAGCGCGGCCAGCGAAAGCGGCCAACGATGGGCCGAAGGGGAAGGATGCAAGGGTAACCTTGGAAATTCGCTCATTCTTACTATGCGGGTTGACTGTAGCACTCTGGCGGCTCGTCGCCAGTCGTCGGGCGACATCGTCGGTCGTCCAACGCCGGTAGTCGGTGGTTGGTCGTCGTCGTTGTCGGTCTGACGCGGGTGGTCGCACGCAGCGGCCGAGCGCCGGGCTCGCTGCCGTCGAGCGCCAGCGACGGGTGGAGCGGGAAGTCGTGAGCCTGCGCGAAGGCATTCCTCCTCCTCCTCCTCCTCCTGCTCCTCCTCCTCCTTCTCCTCCTCCTCCTTCTCTGTAAGAGCGCGTGTTCCTGCCTCGAACGCCCCAAGCAATGAAGGAGCCGTCGCGCCATCGCGCGGGCCAGCTCATCAGACCTTGGAGGTGGGTGGAACAGTGACGACTCCGAGAGAGAGAGGCCCCGGGCGGGGAGTCTGAGGGGGGCTCACAGGAGACCCGCGTGACAGCATTCCTCCTCCTCCTCCTCCTCCTCTTCTTCCTCCTCGTCCGTCTCCTTTCTCTCCTCCTCCTTCTCCTCCTCCTCCCCATGTTTCCACAGCGAGCGCCTCATCCGACAAACGCGAGGCGCGAGCGACCGCTGTTCGGAGTGTTCAGCGAAGCGCCAGGCGAACGCTGGGGCGGGGCGGGTTAAGCTCGTCCGCCTCCAGGCGACGCAAGGAGGCGAACTGTGCCTCCGTCATATGGTCCGCGGCATACACACAAATCAGACAACATCCTGCTCGGCGTCTGCGGACTCCGAGAATCGTGCAGCAGGCCCCCAAAAAACAGAATCGCCCCACGAACCCGGGAATGGGAATTGAGAACTGCCTAACATGGAACCGTTTCTAAGGACCTCAATTGCATTTGCAACTGGGCGATGCCAGGGGGGCATGCCAGGGGGACGCGCCGCGGAACGTCCCAGGGGACGCGCCATGGGGACGCACCGCGGGCCGTGCTAAAGGGACGCGCTACGGAACGTGCCAATGGACGTGCCATGGGACGTGCCAGGGGACGCGCCGCGCGACGTGCCAGGGGGACTCGCTTCGGCTGCCGGGACGCGTCACGGAACGTGCGAGGGAACGTGCCAGGCGACGCGCCAGGGGACATGCCAAGGAACGCGTCAGGGAACGTGCCACGGGACGTGGCACGGGACCGCGCTCCCAGGCAAGCCCATTTTCTGCTCCAGCAAACGCTGCTCCCCCCCCCCCGCCCTCCCCCCCCTGACACCGCGAAGGAGGCCACTTTTCGCGGGAGCTGGGAGGTTATCTAAAAGGTATCTAACAGGTACAGCGGTATCTGCAAATGTATCTAACCGGTCTCTAAAAAGTATGTTAAAGGTAGCCAAACGGTATCTACAGAGGTATCTAAGAAGCCTCTAACTGATCTCTAAGAGGCATCAACACAAGGTATGTAAAATGCTGCATATCGAAAGGTCTATAACACAGATAAAGAAAATGTACCTAAACATGTATATATACACATTTCTCCCTAGGCAAACTCGTTTTTCTGCTCGGAAGACGATCTCCCTGGGCCACGATACCTCGTACACTACGCTGCGTCCGCGCTCCCAGGGCCGCGCTCCCTCATGAAATCTGACGACCCTGTCGGCGTGTGCGAGTGGCTTGTCCGTTCGAGTGCTCGTCTCCGTCGTCTCCTCGTCGTCTTCGTCGTCGTCACAGGTCGTCTTCTCGCCGCGACCGTCGCCCGTCCCTTTCCCTGGGCCCTCCTCAAGCGTGCCATCCATAGCGAAATTGTGCAACGTCGTATTGGAGTCGGAGGGAAACCCGTTCCCTTTGATCCTTTCCCCGCGGGGGGGGGGGCTTCCGGGGAGGGGGCCCGGGGGGGGGTCCCGCTGGGGGGTTCGCCACCAAGATTCGTTTTTCCCCGGGCGGCCCCGGCATATCGAACAGCCCAAAAAGAACCCAGAATGCCGAACATGGCTCCCAAGATTGCCCACAAGAGCCCCGTGCCGCTCAAAGATCGACCCAACACGGCCAAGATGGCCCCAAGACGATCCAAGAAGCCTCCTAGACGCCCCAGGAGCTCTCCAAGAACAACCCCACCAAGGCTTCAAGAGGCTCCTCCCCTCCTCCTCCTCTCCCTTCTCCTCCTCCTCCTCTCCCTTCTCCTCCTCCTCCTCCTCCTCCTCCTCCTCCCCCTCCTCATCTGTCCCCCTCCTCCTCCTCCTCCTCCTCCTCCTCCTCCTCCTCCTCCTCCTGCTGTTTCTACTCCTCCTCCTCCTCCTCCTCCTCCTCCGCCTTCCTTTCCTCTCCTCCCCTCCCTCCTCCAAATTCGTCCTCATTAGCCTTCTTCTCCTTTCCCTTTTCATTTGTTCTGTCCTCCTCTTCTTGGAAAGCCACAGCATCTCCTCCTCCTCCTCCTCCTGCTCCTCCTCCTCCTCCTCCTCCTTCTCCTGCCCCCTCCCCCCTGCTCCCCCTCTTCCTGCTATCCTCTGCCTCCTCCTCCCCCCCTCTCCTCCTCATCCTTCTCCCGCCTCCTCCTCCCTCATCCACCTCCTGCACCCCTCCTCCTCCTCCTCCTCCTCCTCCTCCTCCTCCTCCTCCTCTCCTCCTCCTCCTCCTCCTGACACTCCTTCTCCTCCCCCTGCATAACTTCTCAATATGAATACTACTCTCCTCCTTCCCCTGATGACGGGTTGGGAGTGGTCGCCCCCCCCCCCCCCCCGCGTATTGATTTTCTCAACACACAAGATTCCCCGGAATTGGGTTTTCGCCTGCATGTTTTTCAAAATGCTGCTCTCGCTGAGGCGCCGGCCTCATTTTCGGGCCCCGCTCGTTCGGAATCGTGCTCCCACTGCAGCGCTGGCGTCATTTCCCGTGCCATGCCACGGCATGCAGTGCAATGCTAGGTTGCGTTCCGCTGCGCGATGCCATGCCTTCAGCTGAATCTGTGATATGCAGTGCTTAAGTGCCACGTCGTGCTATGCCACGCTACGCTTTGATCTTCAACGCCATGCTATGCAATATTATGTTCGGGGCCGCTGTGCGATGCCATGCTTTACGTTGCAAAGCTTTCTGCTGCAATTCTTCACTACGCCACGCCACGCCATGCTGTGACATACTACGCTTTGCGGTGCTCTTGTACGCCATGCCATGCCGTGCTCTACAATGCATCGCGTACCCTTTCGGGATCATTGCCCTGCTCGACATCCGACTGTGCGAGTAGAGAGGGGATCTACGCCATGGTAAGGGATGGGAGGGAGGGGTAGGATGTCAGATATGACGCGAGCGCACCTAGCTTGACCCCACCCCCTTTCATCTTCGTCGTCTTCAGGGTCGGCGGCACCGGCCGTAAGGCCTTCGCAATGTACAATGCGGGCGCGGCCGCAAGAAACCCAACCCTGAGAACCCCTGCGCGAGGTGCACCTGAGGGGAAACCTGGGGCACCCTGAACGCAGCAGCTCCTTCAACGCCTGCGGGAAGTCACCGCGCAGCGCGAGGAACGAAGAAACCCAGGATACCCTGACGAAAAGCAGATGGTTTCTTGATGCGCGCCCCCACTGTATACACAAGTATCCCTCTAGGCAAACTCGTTTTCTTCTCGGAAGACGATCTCCCTGGGCCACGATCCCTCGTAAACTGCGCTGCGTCAGTCCCAGGGCGAGCGCTCCCTCGTGATTTTTTTGTTGTTCCAGGGTTGCGCGAGGCGTCACAAGATTGACAGTAAAAAATCCCCACTGAAAAGCAAAAGGTGGGCATTCGCCTTTTATGGATTGCCGCCGGGAGTGAGCACTACACGGACAGCATAGACGACATGCGAGCCCGTTGCAACACGTCGCAAAAGCCAGCACGCCGACGTGCAGGAGGACGGACAATTTCTGCGACAAAGTCCACCCCCAATGTCCGCGCCCCCAGGGCCACGGTCTCTCGTAAATTACGCCTCCATGGCCAGGATCCCTCGTCAATTACGCTGCGTCCGCGCTCCCAGGGCCAGGATTCTGCGCAAATGAGGCGGCATCCGCGCTTCCAGTGCAACGATCCTTCGTAAATAAAAAAGCGTGATCCACCGCCGCTTTACTTTGGAAAACTCTCCCCCTCTTCCTCCGGAATCTGGGGGTCCGCCCGGATATGAGACCAATCCCAACCGACTTGTCCCAATTCCAACCGTTCGGAGTGATTGCAACCAGAAGTGGTCCCAATCCCTCCTGCTCAAACCCCCCCCCCTCCCTCCGAAAAGCCCCCCCCCCCTGCTCGAACCCCGCCCTACCCCCACCCCCTTCCCACGGCAGAACCCCCCCCGCCCCCTCCAGAAAACAGGCTGGTTCGATGCCCCCCCCCCTCCAGAAAACCGGGGGGTCACTATCGGTTCGAACCCCACCCTCCCTCGCCGCCGGCAAACGACTTCCGGGTTCCCACCACCGTCCTCACCACCGCCCTCGCCACTGTCCCCACCGCCACCGTCCCCACCAGGGTCCCACTGTCCCCACTTTTCCCACCACTGTCCCCAGTGTCCCCACCAGTGCCCCCACCACTGTCGCACTGTCCCTACTGTCCTCGCCACTGTCCCCCTACCACGGCCCCCACCACTGTCCCACTGTCCCCACTCCCGACCACCATCCCCACCACAGTCCCAACCACTGTCCCCACCAGTCGGCGAGAAGGGGGCGGGGGGGGAGGTTCGAGCCTGTAGTAACCCACCCTTTTTTCGTGATGGACCGGGGGGGGCGGTTCGAACCAGTAGTGACCCCACCCCCTGTTTTCTGCCAGCAGCGTCAGAACACGCTCTTTCGTATGTAACGGTCCGACCGCACTCCGAGAGCCACCTGGGCATCCTGGGGCGCCCAGGTCTTTCCCAAGCAAACTCTTGTCTGCTTCAACAAACGCTGCTTGCCTCCCCCTCGCCCTCCCACCCCAGACACCGCGAAGGAGGACTTGTTTCGCGGGAGCTGGGAGGTATCAAATAAGTATCTAAGTGGAAAATACCTACAGTAGTATCTACAGAGGTACCTACGAGGTATCGAGCAAAATATCTAGAAGGAAAACACACGGATTCGTACCACTGGTAAGGGCCTATCTATAGGCACGTACGTAAAACATGATGGACCCACGAACCCGGAAAGGGATATAGACATGTGGAGCATGGACACGTTTTCACGATACCCAACTGGGCAACACCTCACGAAACATCCCACGAGACACTTCACGAAACATCCCACGAGACACCTCACGAAACATTCCACGAGACACCTCACGAAACATTCCACGAGACACCCCGCGAAACATTCCACGAGACACCCCACGAAACATTCCACGACGACAGGCAACCACTCAACCAAGGCGGTGTGGTCGTGCTGGGGAGTGGTCGTGCTGGGGTGTGGTCGTGCTGGGGGGTGGTCGTGCTGGGGGGTGGTCGTGCTGGGGGGGTGGTCGTGCTGGGGGGTGTGTCGTGCTGGGGGCGTGGTCGTGCTGGGGCGTGGTCGTGCTGGGGCGTGGTCGTGCTGGGGTGTGGTCGTGCTGTGGTGAGGTCGTGCTGGGGTGTGGTCGTGCTGGGGTGTGGTCTTGCTGGGGTGGGGTCGTGCTGGGGTGGGGTCCTGCTGGGGTGTGGTCGTGCTGGGGTGTGGTCGTGCTGGGGTGGGGTCGTGCTTGGGTGGGGTCGTGCTGGGGTGTGGTCGTTCTGGGGTGTGGTCGTGCTGGGGTGTGGTCGTGCTAGGGTGGGGTCGTGCTGGGGTGGGGTCGTGCTGGGGTGTGGTCGTGCTGGGGTGTGGTCGTGCTGGGGTGTGGTCGTGCTGGGGCGTGGTCGTGCTGGGGTGGGGTCGTGCTGGGGTGGGGTCGTGCTGGGGTGTGGTCGTGCTGGGGTGGTCCGCACCCTGTGATTTATCGATCGGGTCGTGCTGGGGTGTGGTCGTGCTGGTGCTGGGGTGTGGTCGTGCTGGGGTGTGGTCGTGCTGGGGTGTGGTCGTGCTGGGGTGTGGTCGTGCTGGGGTGTGGTCGTGCTGGGGCGTGGTCGTGCTGGGCGTGGTCGTGCTGGGGTGTGGTCATGCTGGGGGTGTGGTCGTGCTGAGGTGTCCCGCACCCTGTGATTTATCGATCGGGATTTCAAAAACAAGCGTTTCGCCTGAGACATCCTCAAATTTTAATCCGCCGGCCTCCTTCGACCTCGATATTCATCAAGGAAAGAATCCGCCGGCCTCCTTCAAGTTGGGCACCGGGGACATGTTTACATACTAAAAGAGAACCCTGGGCCTATGCCCTTTCCGGGGGGGGAAAAAAAAACATACGGATTCGTGCCCCTGGAGAGGGCAAGTCTATAGGCACATACGTTAGAACACACGGATTCGTGCACCTGGAGAGGGCCTATCTATAGGAGCAGACGTACAAACACATGGATTCGCGACCCTGGAGAGGGCCAATCGATAGGAACAGATGTAGTAAAAAAACGCAGGCTGAAAACATTTCTTCGACCAAACTGTGTCCCGCACCCTGTGATTTACCGATCGGGATTCAAAAAACAAGCGTTTCGATAGGGACACCCTCAACTTTTAGATTCGCTGGCCCTACGCGACCTCGTGATTTATCGCAAAGTAAATTCGCCCGCCCTGCGCAAGTCTAGGCCGGGGAAAATCAGCTAAAAGAGAACCCTGGGCCTACGCCCTTTCCGGGAAAAAGACAAAGGATCCAACTCCTCCCTGGCGAAACGGCCCAGCGGGCCCTTCACTGCTGGGCGAGCGGAAACCCAATCGGGATTTCAGTATCTGGGCCCGTCCCCACCTTAGGAATTCCTCGTGCCGTTCGAAAGGAACGTGTGACGGTGTCACCGGCAATCCTGAGGGTATCTTCGGCGTCTTCCAGGATGGTACGATTCCTCTTGCGACTTCCATCGGAACCTGGACATCCAAAAATCGTATCCTGATGCACCGCACAGCTAAGCCACAGTAGCCTCCTGGGTCTCCTCGGATCTCTGGCGAACCTCTGGTGGAGGCCCTTCTGGCACCCGTCTTCATCTTCGTCCTTTGCCCGCCCTCCTCCCCCTCCTCCTCCTCCTCGCCGCCGCCGCAGCGTCGCCGTCGTCGTCGTCGTCGTCGTCGTCGTCGTCGTCGTCGTCGTCGTCGTCGGTGGCGGCGGCGGCGTCGTCGGCGTCGTCGGACAGGATCGTCGGCGTCGCTGCCGAGCGCCTGCGCAACAGCCTCGCGCAGCACCGACTCGACCTGCGCCACCGCGTCCCGCTCGGCCGCCTCTGCGCGCGCGTGCGCGCGCGCGAACGGCCGGCTGCGCCGCGAGAGCCTTGCGAGCTGGCGGCCGACGACAACAAAAACTGAGGGGCAATCAGTGATCCTGAGTTCGGCGCCCGCCGCCAACAGATTCGAAGGCCTCGTCAGATCTGGACCCCAGCCATGACTGCCAAGACGACGAGATGGATGACGATGACCATGACGATGACGCTGGCGAAGAGCGCTCGTGCAAGGCGGGTGCGGCACCATGCTTGGGCCTGGGCGCAAGGTCGCAGGACAGAGCGCGGCTCAAGGACAGCTCGGCGAAGGGCGGCCCGTCAGCAGAATGGGCTGGGCTGAGAGCCGGCAGTTCGCATGGCTCGGGCCCTCCTCCCTGGCGGCGCGGGAATGTGGAAAGGCAGTCGGAGTACAGTGGGTATCCTCCGCCTCCTCCGCCTCCGCCTCCTCCGCCTCCGCTTCCTCCGCCTCCGCCTCCTCCTTCTCCACCTCCGCCTCCTCCACCTCCGCCTCCTCCAACTCCTCCGCCTCCACCTGCGCCTCCACCTCCTCCTCCTCCTCCTCCTCCTCCTCTCCTCCTCCTCCACTCCTCCTCCTCCTCCTCCTCCCCCACCTCCTCCTCAACCTCCTCCTCCTCCTCTTCCTCCTTCTCCTCCTCCTCCTCCTCATCCTCCTCCTCCTCCACCTCTTCCTCATTATCCACCTACTTCTCTTCCTCCTCCTCCTCCTCCTACTCCTCCTCCTCCTCCTCCTCCGCCCTTGCCTCTACCTCCACCTCCGCCTCCGCCACCTCCTCGTCGTCGTCCCCCTCTTCCTCCTGCCTTCTCCGCCCCCTCCTCCTCCGCCTCCTTCGCCTCCGCCTCCGTCTCCGCCTCCTCCTCCTCCCTCTCCTCCTCCCTCTCCGCATCCTCCGCCTCTCCCCATCGAGTCCCGCCGGGTCGACCCTGCATCGGCGACGCATCCCGACATCGGGGCTGCTCTGAGTCAAGCCTTCAAAGGATCCGGGAGCCCCACTTACTCCGAACTTTGGCACGAAGTGGGGCTTTCATCCCGCTCATCCCCGATGCGTCCTCTACTCTGGCCTCTTTCATCATCCATCCTCATTTTGTCCTCCTCCCTCTTCCCTATCCCCTCTGCTGGATCGTTGCTCAGTTGCCACGGGCTCCATCGACTTTGGGGGTACGGCAAATTCTTGCCAGTTGCACTGCTTACCCCGAACTGATCCCGCCTGGGCCAGCAATGTTTGAACGCGCTCTTCGCGCCACACGAGCGACTGCTAGCAGACGGCAGTCATGTAGCAATTACTACGTGTTACGGAAGCCGCCCTGGGAGGGACGAACGTGCTCAAGAAACTGGGCGGGCTTTCCAGCAGGTTGGTTAAGAAACACCAACCCAGCCGTTCGGAAGCTTCTTGATCAGATGCTCGACTGTGCTACGTGTGCTGGAAGTTGCCCAGTCCGTCGACGCGTTGGGTCGCTGCGGCGCCCCCGCACGCGGCGGAAACTCTCCCTCCTCAGACCCCCGACGTCACGATTCTTTCATGACGTGGGCCCCCGGAGGTCACGACGCATTCCCCGGGGCAGATTTTTCATACTGAGTCTTTTTGCTGACGGCCCCGAGGCCCATAGAGGGCCCCCAGAGTGACTGAAAACAGCGAGAACAACCTCACGTCGCGATGTTGTAATGACTCGAGTGGGTCTGGGTCTCTTCCCCCTGCCCCCCCTGCTTGGTCCCCCCCCATTTTCCCTCCGCGCCCGCCCGCCACCGTCGGAGGCGAGCCGCGGGCCTCTCTCCGCCCCTTGCGCACGGTGCTGCAACGCCCTCCTGGCCGCACGCTGCGCCGGCCCCGGGGCACCTCGCTGCCAGTCATCCCGACAGCTCGCTCATACGACACTCGGTGGCAACTGACGGGAGCCTCCCGTGCCATCTTGCTGGCTCGCGCACGCTGATGCGCTCCAGAGACGGACTTCCGAGCACACACCAGGCTCCCATGATTTGCAACCGAAGCCCGAAGCCGGCCCCGGCACCTCGGTGGCAGGCATCCTGCCAGCTCGCTCATGGCAGGAGCAGGCTTAGCGCCGACAGAGCTCGCCTGCGTGCCTGACGCTCGCCCTGCTGGAATTCTGACGATGGCCACCCCAGAAGCACCGTGCATCTTGCACCCAGCGGTCCTGCATACGCCACCCGGTCTTATTTGCGCCTCGCTCGGCCGGCCGCACAATCTTGCACCCCTGGCAAGACCGCACTGCGCAGCCGCCGATCCTGGTCAGTCCCCGATGGCCCGCCCTTCGCACGACTCAATTCGACGCGTGGCTGCACGCACAGCTCATTATGCTCTACATGGTCTGAGGGCGCGCGCGCGCCTCTTTCCTTGCAAACCCCCGCGGCAGACCCCCCTCCCTGCTTCTCCCCCGCTGTGCGCAAATAGCGTTTCCGTAGCCGGGCTTCCGCTTCGACCGAGCCCAGCGACCGCCGGCGCTGCGACCAAAAAGTGCCCAAAGCCGCGGCCCAAGGCCACACAGGGCAAGGGCAAGGATTCACCCAACGACGCTCCCGATGCAACCGCTGCAAAACGTCTTGGGACCTACCGTGCATGGCCACAGGCTCTCCAAGAGCTTGCGGAAGATCCAAGACTGGAGTTTGCAGCCGACGCTACGTCGAAGCTACAGGCCTAGGACGACAAGCACTTGGTACAACGGGAAGCGCAGCCACCTACATGCTTCGCCGAAATAGTAGTTCTCCGCAGTCTCCAGCAAACAGACGGGGAAGAGTCAGGCCAGTGAACGCGCTGGTGGGATAGGACCAGGAAGCCGAGGAGAAGCTTACCACTTGAGGAAGTTCTCAGAGAATGGGCTCGGCAGCCTCTGCAGCGCTCGGCAATTCGACGGTGACCAGCACACCGAGGAGAGCCAACTCATAGGTCGAGCAGGGTGGAAGATGGCCACCTGACCGCGCCCCACGAAAGCTCAAGCTAGCAAATGATGCCTTGCGATATCATGGACTGGCATACAAACCGTGCGATGGCAACGCCTGGGGCGCCCTCATCGGGGACTTCCCACTTACGACGACTGTGGGCTACGAAAAGGAGTGAGCGGCTGACGGCATCGGCGAAAGTGCTGTCGACCACAGGGCCTAACATTGATGGGCAGCTTCTTGTGGCCAACCAGGGTCACTGAGCCTGCCAAGCATCAATTTACCGATACGCCATGCGATTGCCGTTGAAAATAATGGACATCGGACCACCATGACATTCGATATTCAAGGTCAGGTGATAGTTGGGGTCAACGCATCGTTCTCGTAGGTACCCTTCCTACTGAGGATCACTCTAGTCGCCGAGCTGGGCTATCGTCCTTTTCATGTTACTTACTTGTGCTGGTGGAGCTGTTGTTGCTTACTCTGACTGTGTATGATTGATGAGGAACCTCAGGGGGGATATGTTCTGCATTGCCCACACCTCCCCCGTGCTGGACATGTGGACCCAGATCTGGGACCTCTTGGACTCGCGTGAAGGTCGAGTGGAGCTCCTGTGGACACTTCTCTGCGGCTGCACGTGATCTGTGGGGTGGTTCCGAGGCAGATGTTTTTCTGAATTGCTGTGCTGACTTTGTGGTGGGAAGGCCGCCGCTACAGCAGATATTCCCAAGAGCATGTTGGTCGCTGTGCTCCAAGAGGTCGACGAGATGACCGAACAGATCCTACAGTCAGCCCGTAAAGAAAAACGCACAATAGGGATGCAAGGGCCATGTCGACACTTTGCGAGCGGGGCGCGGCCAGCGAAAGCGGCCAAGGATAGACCGAAGGGGAAGGGCACAACGGTAACCTTGAAAAATCGCTCATCCTTACTGTGCGGGTTGACTGTAGGTCGGCTCCTGAAGTTTACCGTGCAAGTCCTTGGACCTGCAAGCGCCTTGTGGAAGACGGGGTTGGGCGCCCTCCTCCTCCTCGCCCGAAGGCCCTGCCATTGCACACTACATGGAAGCAACATCTCGAGGCTGTAGGCCATGCCGGCGATGTTCTGAGGCGAGGCGTGGCAAGGTCTCCTAATTCGTTTCCGGCTGTGGCTTGGTGCGCGTGAGATAAGCCTCTTGGTCTGGTCGGGCGTGAAGCTGTAATCGCGCACCCAGGGGCCCCACGATCTTGATGTTTTGCGTGGCATCATGTGCTGTCGAGTTGGCGGGCGATCCGTGACTCCGAACTCGCAGATCCTTGCCGAGGATTGCCCGCCGGGTTGCAACGCCACTGAGGCAGGCGCCAGTGTGTTCTCCCGGCTGCGACGAGGCCTTCCGCCAAAGGGACGCATGCCATTCCTTGAGCAATGATGGCTGTGGGTGCAGTTGCGCGGGCTGCAGCGAATGTGAGGTGGGAAGCGCACTGGCCTGACCAGGTCCCCGCCGATTGCCCAGATCAGCCATCCCCTCCTGCAGCGTGCGAACAGGAAGCGTGGCCTGCAGAACACGTAGCATTTGCAGGTCGTGGCCAGGTTCCTCTTCAGAAAGCGCAGATCCTGGGTCGTGGAGGTCTGACTCGGCCCTTGTGTGCCGTCTGCAGCGTGTACTGGCCCCATGCCGAATTCAGACGGGTGGCCCAGCTTGAGAAGCCTGTCTGGGAGACGTCCGCGAAAAGACTGGCGCGTGGAGGGCCTACGCATACCCCTCTCGCCCCCAGGGGAACGTAGTACTGCCCGAGGCGAGCTCGCCCCATGCTAACATCACCTGCCGCTGGTCCGCCCGCAGCACAGGCTACACCCTCCGATTACACATGCTCACGCACCACCTCCTGTCAGTCTCCGCCTGCTTATCCCTCCTTTCTCCCACCTTGGTCACGCCGCCCCCCTCCCATCCTCCTTTAACCTTCTCATCCTCCCCCCTCATCATCTTCAACCTTATCACATCCACATCATCTACGCAATCAACAATATCCTCGCAACCACCATCTGCCTCGTCCTCACCCTCACCCTCCCCCTCACCATCATCATCGTCGTAATCATCATCATCATCAGCAGCATCAGCCCAATCCGCATCCTCAATATCATCATCAGCATCAACATTATAATAATCAGCATCGGCATCATCGTCATAAGTATCATCCTCAGCATCATCATCATCAACAACATCACCATAATCAGCATCATGATCATCAGCAGCAGCAGCATCATCATCATCAGAATCCGCATCATGTTCATCAACGTCATCATCATCATCGTCGTCATCATCATCATAATCCGCATCATCAGCATCATCATCACCAACTCCATCATTGTCATTACCATGTTCGATGCCCTCATGATCACCAGCGATAGCAACATCATCATAATCACCTCCATCATTATCGTCATCAGCAGCATCATAATCATCGCCATTACCAGCATAATCCTTCAGCACCATCAGCATCTTCAGCATCACCTGCTTCATACCATAACAGGTATATTCGTCTCCTCCACCATACCATCACCATTACCATAATTAGTTGTCAGTGTCGTCATCATCAGCATCGGCAGCAGCATCATCATCAACAACATCATCACTCTCGTCATCATCATCAGCATCATCATGACCATCATCAACATGAACGTCATGTTCCTTAGCATCATCATCGTCATCATCATCGCCATCGCCGTCGTCATCATCATCGTCATCACCATTGTCATCGCCATCGTCATCATAATCACCATCATCATCACCACAATCATCATCACGATCACCACCATCATCTCTCTTCCCTCCGTCACTCCATCCATTCCCTCCAAGTATCCTTCTACCCTGCATCATCATACTCCCTCCTTGTCCCCTCCTCCTCATTTAGGAGCCCCGGACGTGGCAGCGCAGAAGCCAGGTGCGGTTCGCAGAGCTTTTCCCACTCCTCCTCCTCCTCCTCCTCCTCCTCCTCCTCATCCTCCTCCTCCTCCTCCTCCTCCTCCTCCTCCTCCTCCTCCTCCTCTCCTCCCCCTGCTCCTCCTCCTCATCCTCCTCCTCTTCCCCCTCCTCCTCCTCCTCCTCCTCCTCCTCCTCCTCCTCCTCCTCCTCCCACTGCTCCTCCTCCTCCCATCCCAGAGGCTCTCTGGGAGTCTCCAGGGATCTCCCGGGATCGCCAACAGGTCACTGGAGGTCCCCAGGAGCCCCCGGGGAGGCCCCTGCGCGGAGACCCAGGCCCAGGAGTCCAGAGACGACCTCCTGCGAGGCGGAGGAGGGCAAGGCCGGCGGACCCCGCGGGCGGCTCGCCGGGCGGCGGCGAGCGAGCGCAGCCGCCCATCACGCGAGCGAGGCCCACCCCGGCGCCCACCCGGCGCGGAGGCCCGTGCCCGGGGCGCCCTTGCAGGCTCCTTCGCGGGCACAGCGAGCGGACAAGGCTGGAGCCTTGCAGCATCGACGGTCGGGGTGGAGCCGCCTGCCCCGCACGTGCGGCACAGGGGGCCCACTCCAACCGAAGTGCCAGAAAACTCCAACCGCCTTTCCCTGCCGTCCCCGCGGCAGAGGGAGGGTCGGGGAGATGTACGACTCCGGTTCGGCGGACTCGGGTTAACCTAACGGGTTCGTCAGGAAAGCGACGAGACCCAGCCCGACATTCTACGCAAGATCTCGCTGAAATGAAAATCCGGACGGAAACTGGACCGTCAAAAATCAGGACGGGCCCGACAAAAAGCGTGGGTGAACCCCAGCTCTGGCGAACTCGGATCTCACGCGCCCTGCAGGGGTCCAAACGGCCAGCTCCAGAACCCCAGTGCCCCAGAACTGCCGACGACTCGCGTTTACTTCCGCTGGACTTCCGCAGGTCTCCCGCCGAAGACTAGATGCGCCGCAGGCGAGGCCCTGTCTGGAACGTCTCAAGGGGCTCATAATGGATGGTTCTGGAATGCTCTGCGAGGCTCGCAGGAGTGAGATGAGGGAGGAAGCGTGGAGGAGGACGGGAGGAGTGGACATGAGTGCCAGCCCGAACCGTAGGAACCCAGTGTTGTGGGGTTCGCCGTCAGGCATCGTACATCAGTCTGGCTGCTTGGCTCGCTCGTCGCAGGACCCTGATGGTGAACATTCCGACCCCCAGTGGCAACAGCAGAAGTATAGGAAAACTGCGACGGCGCAGCGATTATCTTCCCCGTCCTTTGGAGCCACACCACAAAGGCGGTGGCTTCGGCAACCCCATCAGCATGGCTGGGCCGAAGTTCAGCGGCGGTCTGACGCCGACGTTGTCGTTAGCCATCGCCGCCAAGTCCTGTAGCAGGCTTCCTCCTCCTGCTGATATGACTTCTCCCCCCCTCCTTCTCCTCTTCGTCACCCCGCAGTGGCTGTGGATCCTCTCCCTTGTCCACCCATTGTGCTGCTACTCCTCCTGCCTCTGCTGGAAGGGGATCCCCGCCCCAGATGACTTGGAGCGCACATTCCGACTCTTCGGCGGATATGTTCCACGAATGGCTCCGACGCGCGGCACATCTGACAGGCCTACTCCTCTCACAGCCGGACGCGAGCGAACGCAAGCACGAGCGCACGCAATGGATCAGGCAAGCAGTCACGCACACCCCGAGAGTGAGCAGGCGCGCAGCTCCGGGCAGCAGCGCCAGGCACGCATCGCAAGCGGGCGCGGGCACGGGCACGAATACCGAGCAACGCAGGCGGGACGAGCGAGCAGCAACGCAGGCGACCGAGCACGAGGCAACGCGGGGCAGGCAGGCGAGCAACATCAGAGGCCCCCTCGAGCAGGCCGGGCGGCAGGGCCCAGGCGCGCGCCGGCGCGGGGAGGCGGGCGCCCCGTCCTGCCACACCGCGCGCGCGGCGGCGGCGGGCTGAGGCACGGCGGCGGAGCCGCCGTGCGCAAGCGGCGGCGGCGACAGGGGCTCCCCGATGACGCCGCGCCTCGCTGTGCCGCCCACCGCCTCCACCGCCCGCCTCCTCCTCCGCCCGCCGCCTCCGCATCCGTTGCGTCCTCGTCCTGCTCCCGGTCCAACCCTCTACCCTCTACCCTCTCCTCTCCCACATACATGCCTGCCCCCCTCTCCCGCTCCTTCCCCCTGCACCGTGCATCCCCGCTTGTGCACGCCACCTTCCTAGGCGGTGGTGTCGCGATGTCTCCCTCATCCAACCTGCCCTCCTTCCGCGGCGATGGGGCGGGATCCGCCGCCGACTCTCTGCTGGATGCCTGAGGTTCGGACGAGCTGGCCGCAGAGCGGAGACATGGACAGGGAAGAGGGGAAGGAGAGCCCGTGGCTCAAAACAAGTGTTATGCACATCTCGAGCCGCGCGTGTCATCCCTGCGCAGGGGCCAAGGGGCCAAGGGGCCATGCTAGTCTTCTCCGTATCGTCCCAATGTTGGAGGACGGTCCCTGACGGGAATCCAGGGAGGACGGAAAGGAGGAGGAGGAGGAGGAGGAGGAGGAGGTGGAGGCGCATAGCGAGGAGAAGATGGAGGCGCAGGGAGGGGACTCCGAGGAGGGGATGGAGCAGCACCAGCGTCAGGAGCCAGGGAGTGCGGAAGAGGGCCAGGGAGGAAGGCTGGGGAGGGCCGAGGAGGGAGGTGCTGGGAGGGGGGGGGGAAGCAAGGGCAGGGGGCGGAGCAGGGGAAGGGGAGGCGGGAAGATGGGAGAATGGCAGGGGAGGGTTCAGGAGGGGAGCAGGGAGGGGCGGAGGGGGACCGAACCAACAGAAAGGACCTGCAGGGATGGCCGAACTTGCAGTGTTCGTCCACGTGGCCAGCCCTCACTCGGGTTGCTGGCAGAATCGTCCGTGACCCAATAAGTCCCCAACTCCTGGGCCGCTGTGAGCCTAGGGCCTAGGCGAGGGGCGCGTCTCGGCCCTTTTTTGGGGCCAGGGGCCACTTCCAGCCACAATCGGCATCTGAGAGATAGAGCACTCATACATGGGGCGAGGAGGGCTCGAACGACGTAAAGTCGACCCAGAAGCCCTTTCCCCTTTCCTATCCTTAGGGCCCCGTCCCTCAGGGCCCAAAACTCAAACCACCAGCACAACTGGGAGAGCTGTGATCCTCGTTTGGGGGAATCCACGTCGAATCGACGATGGGCCCTTCAGAGGGGGCCAATGACCACAGAGCCCCAAACGACGCTAAATCCACGCTAAATCGACGCTTGTCGACGCCAACTCAACGCTTTCTCATCAACTGCCAGGCGCTAGCGCACGCTAGTGCACTCGAAAGGACGGAATGACGAGGGCACACCGGGCTCCCATGATTTGCTGGCGATCGCAGCGTCCGACGCATGGCCGCCGGCACCCCGAATCGAGCCCCGCGCCCCAGCACCAGCGGCACCAACTGCCGCGCCTTGCCGGCGGAGGCGCACGGGCCCATGCTCGCGGCGACCTCGCTGGCCGTGGCGGCCGCCGCGGGGGCTGCGGGCGGCTCGCCACCGCCCTCGGCGCACGACTCCGCCGCGGACCGCGCCGCCGCTCGCTCCGCCCACCGCCTCGCGAGGGTCTCGCGCCGGAGGGCCCGCCGGGTCCTGCTCCGCCACTGGGTGCCCGAAGCGCACACCAAGTCGTCGGGTCGGCCAAAGAGATCGGTGCATATTCCTGTAGGCCGACCCGAAATGTTCGTAGAACGCACAGCCGAATCATGAGAAACGGACGGTCTCAGCGAAGAGCGTTCTAAGAACATGTCGTGCAAACCACGAAAGGTTGTTAGAACATTCTTCCGTGGGCCTGTAGGCAAACCAGGTCGCCTCGCCAATGCTTGAATATAAACGCCCAGGCCTCCCAAGATGTGGGGTGCTGGAACGCCTATAGACCAAGAATGTACGCGGGGATTGTTTGCTGAGCACATACGCTCCGTGGCCGGCCCAGCGACGTGGTGCACAGACACACACACACACACACTCATCGAGCCCGTCCGAGCCACACTCCACCTCTGCCTCCGCACTGCCCAAGGTGGGGAGGCCCACCGATTTAGCGAAAGAGGGGGAGGGGCAGACACGGCCAGCGCGCACGCGGGCTGTCCGGGGCGGGGGGGGGGGGAACGGCACTTGCCGCGCACGTCGTGTAAGAGGCCACGTGCCCGGACCGGCTGAGCAAACACCGTCCCGTGCCACTCCGCCCGATTCTAGGACCCCCCCCGCGCGTGCAGAAATCGCTGCACCTCCTTCCCGGCGAGCCCCGTCAGATGCCGCCCGTCAGTCCATTCCGCATAGGCGATACCGCACCCGAGTGCGCTTACCAAGCCTCCGAGGTTGCGATTTTGTCATGACGAGGGCCCCCGGAACTCTAAACTCTAGACCCCATCCCCAGGATCAGTTTTGTGTTGCTCCATCCCAGTCGCTTGTGGGCCCCGTCGAGGGTCAAATTTTGGAAGCGCACTTTCGTGGCAGCGAAGGCGAGCTCGCGCCGCGTTCCGTAAGCTACGCGGGGGCGTTGCTAGGCAAACTGCGCACCAGCTGACGGGAGACAGAAGCGGGCAGCCGCGAAGGAGGAAATGAACAAAGGCGGCGCACTCAAACCATGAAGGGCTCCGCGAGCAGTGCAGCGGCCTCAGGCTCCGGGTGGGAGACATGCGAGGTGAGCGAACGCTCAGAACCAGGAATGACCAGAGAGAGCGGGTGCGCACTGCGGGTATACCAGGGAGCACGAGCTGGCGATTCTCCCAGCGAAGCTCGAGGAAACCCAGGAGGCGGCACGATGCTGGTGCAAAAGGCAAAGACGCCCCCGATGTCAACCGCCTCCATCCTCCAGCCTCCAACATTATTCGAAGTCCCGCTCCGGATTTCCTCTCTCCTCCTCGTCCAAGTCGTCGTTGACATCGCCGGAATCACCGACACGATCCAAATCGCCGGAATCGTCGTCGTCCGTCGTCCGTCGCCCGTGATCCGTCGTCGTCGTCCGTCGTCCGTCGTCCGTCGTCGTCGTCGTCGCAGCCGCCGCCGCCGCCGAAGCCGCCGTCGTCGTCGTCGTCGTCGTCGTCGTCGTCCTCCTCCTCCTCCTCCTCCTCCTCCTCCTCCTCCTCCTCCTCCTCCTCCTCCTCCTCCTCCCCGCTTCCTCAGCCTCATCCTCCGCCTCCTCCTCCTCCTCCTCCTCCTCCTCCTCCTCCTCCTACTCCTACCCTCTCCTACCTCCTCCTACCTCCACCTCCACCTCCACCTCCTCCTCCTCCTCCTCCTCCTCCTCCTCCTCCTCCTCCTCCTTCTACCTCCTACCTCCCCCCGGAGGGGACGCCCGCTGGGGGCGACGCCCCCGCGGCCCCGCGCGGGAGTCCTCGCGGGCGCATCCGCCGCCTCGCCGCCGAGCACGTCGTCGGCCGCGGTGCCACGCCGCTCCCCAGGGACGGTCCCCGATGCCGGGGCCTCGAGGGCCGGCGCGCTCCCCACTGCGCTCGGCCCACGGAGCGGCGGCGGGGGCGATGCCATCGGCCTGGAGGACATCGATCGCTGCAGCCGCACCGCCTGCGGAAGGCAGCGCATGCCATGCCGGTGCAGCGTGGCGGTCACCTCCAGGGCAGGCGTGACTCCTCCTCCTCCTCCTCCTCCTCCTCCTCCTCCTCCTCTCCTCCTCCTCCTCCTCTCCTCCTCCTCCTCCTCCTCCTCCTCCTCCTCCCCCTCCTTCTCCTCCTCCTCCTCCTCATCATCATCAGTACCATCAGTACCATCATGATCGTGAGGGTGCGCCGCTGGATCTCCCCAATGGGGGGGTCGGACCCCACCCCCCTTCCCCGATCCGTCGTCGGGGACCCCCCCCCCCTCCCCCCCTTCCCCGATCCTCGTCGGGACCCCCCCCCTCCCCCCTTTCCCCGATCCGTCGTCGGGGACCCCCCCCCTCCCCCCTTTCAAAAGGGGGGGGGGGTCCGACCCCCCCCCCTCCCCCCCTTTCGCCACGCCGCCCCCTGACTCCAGAACCCGACCCCCGCCACCCTACCCCTAGTCCTTACCCTAACCCAAGCCCCTAAGCCTAACCCCAACCACGAAACCCAGCCCCAAAGAGTACTCACTACTCATTACTCACTACCCACTACTGACTACTCGCTATTCGCTACTCACTTCTCACTACCCCCTACTCACTACTCACGACTCACTACTCACTATCCACTACTCACTACCCACCACCCACTACTCGCTACTCACTACGCCCTACTCACTATTCACTACTCGCTACTCCCTTCTCGCTACTCACACCTCACTACCCACTACTCAGTAATCACTAAGCACTACTCACTACTCCTTACTCACTACTCACTAATCACTACTCATTACCCACTACCCACTATCCACTACTCACTACTCACTACTAACTACTCGTTGCCCAGAAAATCACGACTCACTACCCACTACTCGCTACTCCCTACTCCCTACACAATACTGACTACACAGTACTCAGTACTGACTACTCGCTACTCCCATACTTGCTACTCAATATTCACTACTCACTCCCCGCTACTCACTAGTCACTACTCACTACTTACTACTCCCTACTCACTAGTCTCTACATAGTCTCTAGTCGCTAGTCACAACTCACTAGGTCACTACTCACTAGTCACTTCCCACTACCCACTACTCACCAATCGCTACTCACTACCCACTATTCGCTACCCACTTCTTACTACTCACTGCTCACTACTCCCTACTCCCTACTCACTACTCGCTACTCCCTGCTCGTTACTCACAAACCACTACTCTCTACTCACTACTCACTACTCGCTACGCCCTACTCACTCCTCACTACTCACTACTCGCTACTCCCTTCTCGCTACTCACTACTCACTACCCACTGCCACTACCCACTACTCTCTATTCATCACTACTCACTACTCACTACACACTACGCACTACGTACTACTCAGTACTCACTACTCACTACTCACTACTCACTACTCGCTACTCACTACTCACTACTCACTGCGCACTACTCACTACTCACTACTCACTACTCACTACTCACTACGCACTGCGCACTACCCACCACTCACTACTCACTAACCACTACTCGCCACCCACTACTCACTACCCACTACTCACTACCCGCTACTCATTACTCCCTACTCCCTACTCAGTGCTCACTACTCGCTAGTCGCTACTCACTACTCACTACTCGCCACTCACTACTCACTTATCAGTACACACGACTCACTATTCACTACTCACTACTCCCCACTCCCTACTCCCTACTCCCTACTCGCCACTCACTACCCACTACTCACTACCCAATACCCACTACTCACTACGCACTAACTCACTACTCATTACTCACCACTCCCTACTCCCAACTCCGTACTCCCTACACGAAGGGGGGGGGGCTCCGACCCCCCCCCCCCTCTTTCCAGCGCCACGGGGGGGAGGGGGGGGGAGGGTTCCGGATCCCTCCCCCCCCAATTCAAGGGAGGGGAGGGGGGGGGGGGTTCGGGACCCGCCCTCCCACCTGAAGGGGGGGAGGGGGGGGGGGTCCGGACCCGAAATGGAACGAATTACAACCGACTGGTCCCAATTCCAACCGTTCGGAGCGAATTGCAACCAGAAATGAAACCAATTCCAACCAGAAACGAAACCAATTACAACCATGGATGGGATCTTCGGAATTCCTCCGGATTCCTTCGGATTCTTCGGAATTCCTCAGGGTTCCTTCGGAATCATCGGGATTCCTCCGGTTTTCCTCCAGGGATCCTCAGGATCCTTATGATTCCTTGGGATTTTTTTGAATTCCTCCGGATTCCTTCGGATTCCTTCGGGGATCCTTAGGAATCTTTGCGAAGCCATAGGAATCCTGAGAAATCCTTGCGGATTCCTCAAGAGTCCTGAAGAATCTTTACGAATCCATCGGAATCCTGAGAAATCCTGAATAATTCCATAACGAATCTTTAGGGAATCCTCAGGCACCCTCCGGAATCCTTAGGAATCTTCGGGAGTCCTTAGGAATATGTAGGATTTTCGATGGTTTTTTTTTGCCTCCATTCTATGCGATACCGAATGTTGCCGCTCGAACTTGCCACCTGGGGGCCTCTAGGGCTCTCGTTGCAGCAAAACTGCCGCCACTTTCGAGGGCTGCGGGGGGGCCAGCAGAGTGACGTCTTATGGGGAGCCAGATTGGACCTCGCCATCCCTGGGGGGGGGGGGGGGGGGCATCTGCGAAACTGTCGCCATTTTCGAGGGGCGCTGGTGGGTCCAGTGGAGTGGCGTCCTACAGGGGGCCCCGCCCGCTCGCGGATTGCATGTTTGCCTACCATTACAACCGCTACTACTGCGACTACGACCACAACCACGACTACGACTAAGACTACAACTACAGTTACTACTACTACTACTACTACTACTACTACTACTACTACTACTACTACTACTACTACTACTACTACTACTACTACACTACTACTACTACTACTACTACTACTACTACACTACTACTACTAACCACTACTACTAGTTAACTACAACTACTAACTACTCTATCTAACTACGACTACATACTAATCTATTACACTACTAACTACCACCACCACCAACCTACTACTACTAACTAACCGTCCACCACCACCGCCATCCCCAACCCGCCACCAACCACCACCACCCACCACCACCACCACCAACCCCCACCACCACTACGACTACGACTACTACTACTACTGCTACTACTACTACTACTACTACTACTACTACTACTACTACTACGACAACGACTACGACCACGACCACGACTACTACTACTACTACTACTACTACTACTACTACTACTACTACTACTACTACGACTACGACTACGACTACGACTACTACTACTACTACTACTACTACTACTACTACTACCACTACCACTACCAACCACTACCACTACTACTTCGAATAGGAGGACCCACTTTGCATATTTTAAAAAAAACGATGCAGATCGGTGCGGTTTTGCTTACGTTTCGGTGCCCTCTTGCTCATCTGAACATAGTGCTCGTGCGCAGACCAAAACTGACACCAATTCCAACTCTGGCACGTATGTTGGTTTCCAGAACCTCTGCGTGGACATAAGAGGTGTCACTTGGTCTTCACAGTCGTCTTGGGCTTCTCTACACTTACAATCTTATTGTGAGGCTATCCCAAGCCGGTTGGGATTGGGCCCAGTTTGCTTTTCGCACTGGTTGGGATTGGGCCCAGTTGGTTGGGATTGGGCCCAGTTGGTTGGGATTCGGCCCACATGCGGTCCGGACCCCCCCCCCCCCACTGAAGGGGGGGAGGGGGGGGGGTAGTGCATTCAGGGAGATCCACTGGCGCACTTTCATGATCATGATCATCATCACCATCACCCTCACCATCCTCCTCCTCCTCCCCCTTCTCGTACACGTCATTCTGCTCATGCAGATCCGTTTCATCCTCCCCCTCCTCCTCCCCTTCTCGTCCATGCCCTCGCGGCCCCCTCCTCCATCCGCTTCTTATCCCGCTCTTCATCCTGCTAATGTTGCAATTAACTCCTTCTTCTGCTACTGCTCCTACTCCTCCTGCTCCTGCTCCTGCTCCTGGCGCGTCGCCGAGGCGCGCCAAGTCGATTACTCCGAGCCCGCGCCCGCGCTCGCGACGCGGAGCCTCGCTAGCGCGGATCGCACAGCAGGCTGTAATTCAAAGATGCGACAGCCAGCGAGGGGCAGGGAAGCATCGGCCTGAGAGGCGCGAGAGGCGGTGGCGGCATCGAAGAGAAGAAGACCAGCAGCAGCGGGCTCGAAATCAGCGCGACAAGGAGAGCACAGGCCGAGACGAGCAATGGGAAAATCGAGGAACGGAAGCGGCTGGATGATGAGAGCAAGCAAATACTGGAAAACAGGGCAGTACGCCAAGCAATGCAGGAAAGTGTCGAGGCCGCCACATCCCATCATGCATCCACGCTGGGAATTGTCGCGCATACGAGCTGATGTTGCCCATGCACCTGCTATAGTTTTGAGCGCTGCCGAGCTGAAGCCAAGTGGGAGAGCAGCAAGACACGCCTTCACCTTAGTCCAGTTGATGTTTTGAATTTCGCCCCGACGGTCGGGAAACCAGACCAGGAGGCGAGAGGGGAACGTCGAGGGGAGGGGGTCAGGAAACAGAGAGCACTGGAGCGAGGCAGAAATCACACGCTGGACCTTCGGTTTAGGCGGCCTGGGCTCCGAATTGCAAGGGCTCGGAGGGTTGAGACACGCGCGGGCAGACTGCAAGGCTAGAGAGCCAGCTTGCGCCCATTGGGCGTGGTCCGAGAAGCCCGCAGCGGCCTGGGGGAGATTTTGCACCAGAGGGGGGGATTTCCACCAGGACGGGCTGAGTTTTCCTTCTCCGATCTCCTGCAGGGTCAGGTGATCGAGAGCCGCCCCGCGGAGAAACTGAAAAAGCGGTTCCCATTCAGGGGGCGTCACCAGAGCAGTCCGCATCAGGGAGGCCAAGGATAGAACCACCACACTGTTCACGGAGGGCCCGCCCCAGGAGGAAAGGGCGAACCAGCCAGCGCGGGAAAAGGAGCAGCGAGGCACACGAAAGAGAGAGGCGAAGAGGGCGTGCTCCGAGCGAGTCAAACGAACGAGGTCCGAGGAGGGAAGGGGAATGAACTGAGCCACATATCCGACCGTGGGCACAGCTCTCTTGTTATAAAGATATTGCGTGACTGCCGTGGGAGGTCTAGCACGCGCAATGGCGCAGCCTCGGGCAAACCATTTCCGAGTGGGTCCAGTCCAGCTTTCATTTTCGGTCCCAGAACCGAGCACCAAACCGAGGCAAGTCAAAAACGGCACAACCTGGAACGCGGCCCACTCAGGAAGCTGCGCACGCAGCCAAGCCGTGATCGTTTCGCTGAGCTCTTGTGAGAACTCGCTTCCCATGGGGGGTAATGGAACACTTGGGCGGCTTCAAGGTGAGACCTGCGAGACGGAGACTCGGGTCAAAGGGCCGCTTCAGAATACGGAGATCGGCGAGTTGACGAAGCGCAGCGCCCACGTCATCAGCACAAGCCCGAGCAATGCCTCTCTCGCGGGGAGCCCGGCGTCGGCCCCCACCAGGCTGAGAACGAGCACGCAGGGAGGCATCGATGTCGGACAGGAAGGGATTCGAAGCGATGGCGTAGATCATGCCTGATGCGGGACAGCCCTGGATGATGCCACTCTCTATCTTGAAGGCGAAGCGGAGCGCGTTGTTGGTGCGCACGAAGCACCGGACAGCACTGTAGAGGATCTCGAAGAAGAAGAGGAGCGGGGAGAGGATGCGAAGACGTCGAAGGCACATTAGCAGCCATTCATGCGCAATCGACGGGAAGGCCTGGCCGTAATCGAAACTGACAAGAACTGGCTTGTGCGAGATGGCTACATTTGGGTCCGCGATATGCATGCCGTACACCCAGGAGTATGTATCTAGCTCGAGTATGTTGGTCCCGAAGTTCCGACCGCCCACGAAACCACGCTGTATCGGGGCAGTGAAGGTATCCAGAGTTTTGCTGAGTTCGCGGCAAACGATTCCCGTGAAGATATTGTTCGCGGCGTTTTTGAGACCAAGGGGGCGAGTCTGGTTGGGGCCCCGATGAATGGCGATTTCGTCGGAGGCCTCGGAGCCTTTGGGAACGAACACCTTGCGGAGGTCACTGAAGGAGGCCATTGGGGGGTTGCCGTTGAGAATCCACCACATCATTTTGTCGAGAATAAGAAAGCCTTCAGGGTGCCCTTGCCATGCAGCAAACGGGAGCCCGTCGGGGCCAGGGGCCGAGTGCTCGAGGCCCTGGATGCATTTCTTCACGGAGCGAAGGGGGGGAGGGGGCAAGTTCATCAGGTCAGGGGAGACGCCGAAACGGTCGAAGTACCTCTGGGCGCTCTTGGAGTCGATCTGCTTTTTCGAGAATACGGAGGACCAATGCCGAGATAATACTTCCACCATTTTTCCAGGCTCCGTGCAGACACCATCCCCACAGGGCACGCCGCGAAGCGAAACTCGGCGGTCAAACGGACTCCATAAGCGACTGCGCTGAACCACAGCGCGGAGTCTTCTCTTGAGCTTCCGCTTCTGGCTCTCTGACTGCACCCTCGTCAGGCTGGCCCTGATCTCAGCCTGCTCGCGCTCAGAGATACTCCTGTGGAGCTCGGAAGAGACCTGCAAGAATTCAAAAACGCGCAGGAGGGTCACCGTGCGCGCGAGGACGTCAACGTCCAGGTACTGACGGGCCAAGAAGTGTGACGCTCTGAGTCGTTCTGCTAAAATGATATCCTGCCTCCAAACCGCTCGACTGATGCTCTTGATAATCAAAAACTTGGTATCTATCGACTCGGGGCGCTTCACAATCATGGCGTTCCTAGCAACAGACGCAGCCTCCCTCATGATCCTCGCCTGGTATTGGAGGAGAAGAGGTGGGGAGAGGCGGCAAGTATCTTCCAGGGCCCCAACAGAACTGAGGTATTCCTTGTACTCGGGCTGGAGGAAAACGTGTTTCGGGATGGGGCGTTCGCCAGACGGGATCGGAGGACTACCAGCGAGGCTGACCGCGAGCGGCGCGTGGTCTGAGAGGCCCTGGGCGTGGAGGACTCACTGACCTGGCCGCTGGTAAACAGCTGGTTGCAGACCCACCCAGGAAAGCTCACGAAGATCGGATCTATGGTGTTCAGGGTTCCCAGCGCGCGGTTGTAGTGGGCGGGGTCAGGGGTCTCGATTTCTGTCATGGAGCTGAAAACAGGACTCAAAATCGCGCCCCTGGAAGCGCGCCAATCTCGAAGGGTATCTAGCGGGTCAATGGAGGAGTCTGCGCCCAGCGAGCGCCGGGCCGAGTCGGCCAGATTCAAATCTCCAGCCACGATAACCAGCCTAGTAGTGGGCGAAGAGGCGGCATCAGCAAGACGAGCCCGAAGAACCTGAGCAACGAGGTGCCGTTCTCCCACAGAAAGCCCATGGAGATGAACATGAAAATGTGATATCCAGATGCCCTCGGAGAAACCGAAGAAGAGCTCCAAAACTCGTCCTGGAGCCATGACATTCTTTTGAACTAGATGAGGCCGAATCGGAAGATGTTCGAAGTTGGGGTACAGGGTAACGACTCCTCCTGCTCGGATGTTAGGCCAGAACGAAGAGGCGAAAGAGAAGGCGGAGTTGGAGAAGTAGGCGAAGTCCCGCAACTCAGTCATCGTGCCGCGGGTCTCTTGGAGCGAGATGATCGATCCAGTCTTCCACAGCGAGCGCGCAAGTGCGAGCTTCCTGGAGCGAATGCCGGCCTTGTAGTGGAACAGCGCCTGGGCGTTCCATGTGACCAGCGAGAGAGGGGTCGGGGAGCCGTGCGAATCAGTCCACTGCGCCAGCAGCGGGCTAAACACTCCACGTCGCCTCACTTGCGGACTTGAAGCCAGCCATGACGCCATCAAGGATCTTGGTCTTGTCGATCCCCAGCGCGTTGAGGTTTGCGAGGCAGAACGATAGCTTGGGCGGTGCTTCTCCAGCCTGTGGTTCCACATGCACCAGCGGCTTCCACTGGCATGAGATCTCACCCTTGTCTTTGTCACTGTAGAAGCGAAGGTGCCCGTAGTGGAGTTCGAGCTCACGGCGAACACGTTTGAGGCCGAGCTCTCCCTTGACCTGGGCCACGTTCTTGTCACCAGAGATGAATATCTCCTGCGTGGAGTTGTCGGGGGCCTGGCACTGGAAGCGCTCCCATGTCTGGTCATGTCGACGAAGAGCGCCGAGGGCCTGCTGGACTTTCCGAGAGGCGTAGGGGACCGAACCATTGATCCGCAGGATGTACCTGTTGGAAACAGGTTCGCCTTCCACTGAGAAGTCAGACTCGTTGAGCTGGGCACGGCCGAGCCAGTCGGAGAGCGCAGCGAGGACACCAGCTTTGGCGCAGGACAGCTTGGTGCGGAGCAGAAGGATGGTCGGGTCGGTATTGCGATTGAAGCCAGGAGCGGCAGCAGGAGCTGGGCGAGCAGCTTTGATGTCGCCGAGGGTCTCCGTGAGCGAGCGGATCTGGCCTTCGAGGACGTCGATGCGGGCTTCTTGGGCAGACTGGCGGCATTCCACACCGTTGAGCCGCGCCTCGGTCCTCTTGTCGATGTCATTCCAGCTGCTTGTGAAGGTGTTAGTGAGCGTGGCCACCGAGTTCTGGACGTTGGCCAGGGCAGCGAGCATGCTCTTCTTGGTGGTGTCCACGTACTCCTTAAGGCTAGCAGCGTCTTCGGGGGCAACAGCGTGGGCGATGCGTTGCCGTTTCGCAGCATCTTCTGCAGCGGCGACAGCGGCAGCCTCCTGTGTGGGGAAGGTGCTCGCGGGTTCCCACCCCTGAGCGATGCCATCGAGCGAGGCGGCGGAGGCAGCATCGCTCATTGCAGGGCCAGCAGGGCTGGCTGACGGGAGACTGAATGTGGAAGTGCTCTCGGCCTCCGACCGAGAAAACGGCGCCCTCCTGCGGGCAGACTTGGGCCCTAACCGAGTACACCCTCGCGACCGAGAGAGGGCGGCTTCGGGCAATGGCCTTGAGCCAAAATGGTTTGAGCCAAAATGGCTACGGTCTCCTGCTCCTGCTCCTCTTCCTCCTCCTCCTCCTCCTCGTCCTCCTCCTTTCCTTTTTCTTATAGGTAACTCCTCCCTGTCGCACCCCGAGGCGTGTCGATAGGGCGGGCTGGGCGTTTCGCAAGATATTCCCCACCAGTTATGATCCTGAAGCCTGAAGTTTGCAACAAGGATGGAGGGCGGGTGGTGGTCAGAATGTGGCCATCGCCTTCGCGCCGCGCACGTTCGCCTTAGACTCTTCAAGCAGCTTCACGGATGGATAGCGGGTGGTTTTCAAAATGTGGCCCTCGCCTCAGCACCGCGGGCACTCGTCTCCAAAAGGTTATAGCACTTTCCAAAATGGAGAACGGTTCCTTCCCGAGATGCTGCATTCTCTCCTAAGCGCTGAGCGCGTGCGTGGTACACACTGGCAAACATGTCGAAGGCTCATGAAGATGAAATTCCAAGAATGGTGTTCTGGCACGGGTTCGTGGCTGTCAGGGCGCAGCCGTCACTCTGATTTGGGGTGTTGAAGTCCCACGGCTGGCTTTCTGGTGCGATTCGGATTTTGGGTGCAATAATCACGCTGATTCGCGGCGTTGAAGTCCCAGGAACGATGCTTTCGCATGACTGAGGATTCTCAGACGGTTGTCTTCCGATGAACATTTCCTGCAGTGAACACAAGTTCCTGTAGGAACATATACGGCGGGAGCTTGGAGGGAAGGTTTATCGTAATGTCGTTGATGCGTCTTAGGTTTACACTGGTCCTCTTCCTCCTCCTCCTCCTCTTCCTCCTCCTTCCCCCTCTCCTCTTGCCACCCTTCCCCCTTGTGGTACGCCTCTCCCTCCTCCCTCGCCGCCTCTGCCAGAAGCTAGTGGTCGCAATGCTCCTGGAATTGAGCACCCTCCCCCCTACCCCCGACTCCTCTACGGTCGGAAACTTTTGCATAGCGTGTCGCGGCAGCGGCCCTGGCGACACGTTATGCCCTGCAAACAGATAGTTAACGTGTCGCTCCTCTTCGCAGGGCGAGGGGTCAGGAAAATTCGAAATGCTGACGCTTCGGGACTGGGACGTGCATAGCGCGTCGGGCCGAAGCGTGGTGGGCCAGAACCGGCGGAACGAAACGCTGTCCCAAAATTCCCGACCACATCTCAACTGGCAGCAGGCCGGAGCCTCATCATCCCGGAATCATCCCTGCCATTGGGCCCGCGTGCCCTGGGCACCTCCGCGTCGCACTCCCTGCTCACCTCCACGCGGTCGAAGAGCCCAGCCGCGGTGGTGGGCAAGCCCTCCATCGAGCCCTTCGCCACCTGCCGTGCAGCGAGCAGAAGGGGGCAGGCCGAGGGGTGGGTGGGTGGGGGCCTCACCGTGGGGCACCTGGGAGAGGAGGAGGCTTCTGCGTAGGGGTCCAAAGGCTTCTGCGGCCATCGTGCTACCTTGATAAGAACCGCCGAAGAAGGAGCAGAAGGGGCTTTTCTGGCCCCAGCGAGCGTCGGCTTCGAATAGGCTGCCCGACCCAGATCTGAGGAACGGCACGACAACCAGAGCCCTCCTGAGTCCGAAGTGATCCTGATACGGTTGAAGGAACCAATTCGTGGACACTCCCCCTCCCCCATGCAAAAAGAGAAATTGGCACACGCAGGAAAGACTTCGGTCGAAGGGCAACTCGTTCAACCCCATGCCAACACTGATCATTGGGGGAGGGACATTGGCAGATTAATGTGGAATGCGTGTTCGCAAATTTCTTCCTCGTCGTCGTCGTCGTCGTCGTCCTCTGAAGGCTCCTCAGAAGGCGGGGGGCTTCTGGGAGGCCCCCCGCTGGCCCTGCCGCAGAAAATCCGTCCCCACCCCTCGTCCCGCCCCCCTCCCGCGCGCTTTCCTGAGGGCCCCATCGCCGCCTGCCCGAAGAACACGGCCGTGCCCGAGGGCTTCAGGAGCCTCCGCACCTAACCAGCCTCGAGGCTATCACTATCCCGAAGATTTCAGCAAACCCGAAGGCGATGATAATCTCGGGGATGCGCCCTCAGAAACTGAGGGAACCCTTGAGATCGGCATCGAGATCAGGTTATGCCAATCATAGATATAGGGATGTGTACCAGGCTGGTAAGCACTGTCTTCAGCAGCGCGCTGGGGGAGCCCCCAGACTCGAACGGGTCAGCCCCTATGATCCAGTCGTACTGCACGCCCGCGTCCACGTCCTGTGCTAAGTGTCGGCCGCGAGCCCAGTGGGGAAGACAGAGGTGGCGGGCCTTCTCAGAAGGCTCGCAAGGCCTCCAGCCTGCTGAGATGTGTCCTAGGCCTTCTCGCAATGCATAGACGGCTTCTCAGAAGCCGGAGGGCTTCTGAGAAGCCCCGCCGCCTCACTGCCCCCCAGGCGCGCCGCCGAAAGTAAGACACAGGCACCCGGCGCAACGAAGGACTCGTGACGTCGTGGCTTGCTCACAGCATTCGGCGTCTGGGGGCCCATCTCGAGCCCCAGGACCATCCACAAATATGGCCCCGGCGCGACCCCGATGAGGGTCTCCTTCCTTCTGGACCCAATCAAGGCAGCTCTGAGCAATGGGAAGCAACGTGTTGTAAAGCATTGCTTGGAGCTGCTTGGCACTACTTGAAATCATTGCTTGGCAGTGCGTTGCGTTGATTTGCGTTGTTTGGCATTGCTTGGCGTTGCTTGGCATTGCTTGGCACTGCTTGGAACCCTCGCTTGCAATTGCTTGGCTTTACTTAGCATTGATTAGCTTTACTTGGCATTGCTTGGCGTACCCTTGGCACTGCGCAACCAGGCAACACGAACAACTGGGCAACCCCAGGCCACCCTGATGAACGCAGGCCAACCCGGCAACGTGGCAACCCGAGGAACCCGAGGGGCCGCTTCTGACAAGCACTTCTTCCATGAACTCAAAACTATGGCTGAAAAGGTTGGCTCGCGCCTGCCCGCATGGCTTACGCAATGCAGCGTAATTGCTTGCGTCGCTTAGCCTTGGCTTGCGTTGGCACGTATTGGCGTTGCTTGACATGGCCAGGACACCTGAGAACTGGGTAACCAGGCAACCCGGGCAACCAGGCAGCCCAAGCAACCCCGAGGAACGCCGGGCAACCAGACAAGGGGACACTTCCTTGAACGGCGGGCGCCGTCCCTGAAAGCGAGACCCGCACCTGCCAGGTTCTCACACAGAACAGATAAGAAGAACAACCCCTTAGGCAAAGGCTAACTGTGGAACGCCACAGGATCAAAACAGACATAATCTCCGGGATGGGGTGGGGAGGGGCACACGCCACGATACCACGGGAGGGGAGTCTGCACTCCTGTTCTCCCCTCGATGTCGGATATCCGTCTACACCCTAAGATCCAACGGCGCGACACAATACAACATCGCGGCACATCACGACCAGAGCCCTTGTACCCCATCTTTCTGCAGCAGGTCCCGAGCTGGGTCGATCGGTCCCAAGGCCCGAGATCATGCGAAAACGCCAGGCTCAACACAAAAACTGCGACGCCCGGGTCGCAGGGCATCCTAAGGGAGACTTCCACCTGGACGCTGGTGGACCTGCGGCTGTGAGCAAATGCAGTCGGCAGGTGTGGCACGCTCGCGTGGTGCGCTGCCCCACGTGCGCCACGCGAAATCATTTGCGCGAGGTGCCCCGCCGCCAGGCGCGCTTGACTCTCATGGTCCGCCCTGTGCGCCACGTGCTCCAGGCCCGTCGAGTGCGCGACGCTCGCAGAGAACGCCAGGTGCGCCAGAGCATGTGGCTGCACACGGGGCAATAGGTCGACACACCCACCGTCCCTGACAAACCAGTGCAAAGTGACTGCGGGATGGTAAGCGTTGTGCACGGTTGTCACTGTGCACCCGCAGACATTGTGCATTGCGCATTGGTGAGGATGGTTGGCCAGCGCGCAGGAGAGAAATTTCCAACCCACCCTCACTATCCCCAAATTGCTAAGTGTGATGCGGCAACAAGCGCTGCGCATGGCTTTTTGGGAAGAGGCTGTGAGATGGTGGGGGTCATCTGTCCTTGCCGTTCGCCACTCGAGTGGGGGAGGGGCTGCTTACCAGCAAAGTTGTTGTTGAGGCAGGGCGATCACGGGCAGGGGAAGGGAGTAGCGGAGGGGGAATAGACGGGGGCGGTCGGGCGGGGGGGATCTGGGGGAGGGGAGGGGCGAAGGGCGGAAGAGAGGAGCGGAGTGGAAGGGGAAAAAGAGCGGAAAGGGGGCGGACGGAGGGGAGGGGAATGGACGGAGAGGGGGTATGGGAGGGAGAGCATTTGAAATGCGAGGGCAGGGGCCGGGGAGGGACGGGGACTGGAAGGTCGCGTCCTCGCCCCACACAAGACGCCTCACCGAAACCTTCTTCGACTGGAACGCGCCGCCGTTCAGCGCGACGCTCTCCTGCATCGTCGCCACCATCCGCGGGTCCCCGTCGGTGAGGTCCACCTGCTTGGCCGCTGCGCACACGCCCGCCGTGAGGCCAGCCAGGCCAACGCCCGCCCCCAACTCCAGCACGCGCTTCCGTTTCAGCTTCCGGCGGTTCTTCAGGACCCAGTGCGTCAGTACCTCCTCGGATGCGGAGACCCTCCTGGCGAGCTCGCCATAAAGGAAGTCTCCGCCGTCGGGCTTCCTCACGGTCACGCTGCAGCCGCCGCACTCGTAGACCAGATCCTTGCCAGTGCCCTCTGCGCCTGTTGAGGCTGACAAGCCTACGACACGTGAAATGGCCTATCGCCCGTCTCCTCAGTCGCCGCATGATTTCATCAATCAACGACAGGTCCTGAAGGAAGAGCCGACATATGAACCCAATCGAACCTCCTCATGAAGCCTACGCAACAAGTTGGCCCTGGTGCTACGAGCGGGTATCTCGGATACTTGTTTGTATCAGCTTTTTGGGGACTGAGTTGTTCTCGTTGCCCTGCTATGGGGATCTGACGCACCTTGGCATTACCGCGGCAGTCGTTATTGACATCTGCCAGCTCGTTGCAGTCAGAGTGCCTTGCGCGCATTCCTCTTGGATCTACAGTTGATGCTGTGGAGCTGGATGGCGCGCCTGTCACGTTCAAAGCCTGACAAGACATCGATCTGGAAAACCGTCGCATGCTTGTCAGGGCTGGCTCCATCTGTGACCTCCTGGGATGTACTGTCTAGGGGCTGTGGCAGCTGGCAATACGACGGGTTGGCAATCTGCAATTCTGCCGCGTGGACTACCCCACATATGGTGTTGGGACTGCCGTCCGATAGCGACGACCGACGGTACCGCGAAGGAATCACGCAAGCGGTGGGACAACTGTGACAGCGAGGCTCCCTCTATGGTGAACCTTGAGCTGTCGTTCTGAGCCCGACCTCTCCACGCGACGCGCTTGGCCAACTGCCAAATCAGGCTCCACGCAGGGCGCCCGGTCTTCTTCCTGTAAAGGGGCTGGGTCTCCTTTGGAGGTGCTGCCGAAACACACAGTGCGCAACTAGCCTGCCGACCCCCCATGTTGCAAAAGCGGGCTGGGGAGCCGCTGGTAAGTCAGAAAGGCCTGCTCTCGGCACGCATGTTGGCGCTAGCGCTGAAGAACCTGGGCCACCCCGAGCCTGACATCATCGTCATCACCATTATCAGCATCACCAACATAAACGCCATATCAAGTCTAGTAGCTTTGAAATGTCTCTGAAGGACGTACCATGGCCTGCGCTCAATCAAGGCACAGGTCAAGCATGGATCGAGCATCCCTCGGCGCGAAGAACTCCTATGGCACAACCAACAACGGACATCTCCTCACGGTCCCTCTCGGGTACCAAAGAAGGCTTGGCCGGTGGGTACACAGGGCTACCATAAGCGGCTCTTTGTCAGCCAAGACACAGCCATACTCACCATAACACCATCAGCCCAGACGCTGCGGCTCATAGATGACCCTCTAGCCTCTTCCTCCCCCTCCTCCTCCCTTCTTTCATTTGTCTCCCTCCTCTCCCTCCCCTTGCGCGCCAGGCGCGTGCATAGTGCACGGCTGGCGCGCGCAGCCCTCTGAAGCCCCCGACATTGCACCGGCGCAAGCTGGCCGGGGCCCCTGACTACAGCCGGGCGGTCTCACTGTTGAAATCGGCTCTGTAAAGGCCTCGAACCAACTGGGAGAGTCATGGCTGGTGCGCAAGCGCCAACAAGAAAACAAGTGGCATGATAGAAAAGCGCGGTGGAGGGCCCGGGCCCGGTGAACTCGAGCCCCTTTGACGCCCTTCCCTGTTTGCATGGCGTTTGTCCTCCAAACGCGTACCCACGTTTTCGAAGGTCTGCGTAAGTATACTTGTTAGGGTTGAGAAAGAATTTCACGGCTTTGAAACAATGTTAGAGGCAAGGTGGAAGATCTAAGAATGGACCGCGCGAGGGCGCGCACTGTGGGAGCCGCCGTTGATTGGAGATCGTCTGCGTACTCCTACTCCGACTTCGCGGCTGCCCAAGCTCCCCGCGCCAGGCTGGAAACCCTTCGCAATTGGTAGTCAACTGGCTGCACGCTAGGGCCATGGCTTCCTGGCTTACCTATGGACCTCTCCGCCTCAGTAGCAGCTTGTGCCTGCTGGCCCGGGAGATCGGGCATGGTACGTTGGTGTGGCGACGCGCTCAAGATGCCTGCGACCACATCTTCATATCGCCGCTCCGCTGCAAGGTCTGGCACTGCCGGTACCTCAGCGAGCCAGATGAACGTGTATGAACACTCCTGTCGGGGAAACGAGAACGTGACCCGTGATTTCGACACATCAGTGATGACGGAACCTTGACCTCCGTCGAAGGATACCCCTGCGCCCAGTGCACCGTCGCTGGGAGTGGCAACATGCAGACCATCGCCATGAAGGGCCTGTCATGTGCATGGATGCGATCCCAGGTGTGATGAATGACTGCAAGCCAGTGGGGCCGAGTTCGACCATGTGGACGTGGAACGGCCGATGTATAAGCTGTCGGCAAGAATGCGCAAGCAGACACCTCACAGCAAACCGAAATCTGCGACCCAAAGCTCGTCAATAGCTGTAGAACTTGCCATGGTGGTCAAGGCAAGTAGCTGTCATCTTGCTCAACATCCTCAGAGGAGACTTCAGCCGTCTCCTGGAATTGTGGATGCTGGCTGAAATGGACGATGTGCGGCGGAGAGCAGAAAACAATGGAGATACGGTCGATGTGGCATGTGCTGACGCACGCAACCAACGGCACGTAGCCCGCATAACACAAGGGAATTATGGATACGTTGTCTGATGCCAAGGATGTTTCATCAACACCACGCTGCACACCGCCATGGACTGTCGTCCGCGACCGCAGCGGATGGATACGCTGTGAACGACATATGACATGACCTTGCTCGCATCGTGGCCAGCGGACGCACAAACTGACGTCAGGCCAGGGCACCACGCCGATGGCTGAACGAGACGATGCAGAATATCGTCGCCTGTGGAGCGCGCAGCAGCGCGAATGCAATCCTCAGCGGCAACTTTGGCCCCGAATAATATACAAGTACCATGCCTGTAAAGAACTGGAACGGACCGTCACATGTGTCATGACGTGGCCGCGTAGCCACATGCCCTCATTCTGAGCCATGCGGGCGATACCCGTGATGCTGATGGAGGATCGGGAAGATCAAGGGGTAAGCGTCGCTCGCCACACCGCCCTGCGAGCCAGGGGACCTATCTGACAGGTGGCAGCCGCTGGCATGCCAACTCCGACTCGGGGACCTGCCCGACAATACCGCTGGGCCCATGCGCCCCGCAGTGCCATTCGAGGCGCAGCTTCAGCTCTCGCCCAACAAGTACAATGTGCCCAGACGCTTGGGCTGCACGCCGTGACACACATCATCGCAACTATGGGCATCACACCAGCACTAGTACTTACCATTACCACAACCGTCATCCTCGTCATCTGAACTTACCGATACTGAACCTGACATTCCTTACTCTGCTTCCACCTCTGACTTACCTGCCCTCTGCTGGTGTGAACATTGCAGCGCCATGAAAAAACAATGCGACCTGACTTCCAGGCCTTCCCCCTTGCAGAAAGGAGCATCACATCGACATACATCGTGAACCTCTCAGAACCAATGGATTTCGCAGATGCATCGGGTGCCGGGGCGGTTCCACAATGTTCCAGAACGCCATCAGAGCTTTCCGCAATGATCCTCCTCCCTCTCCTCCTCCTCCTCCTCCTCCTCCTCCTCCTCCTCCTCCTCCTCCTCCTCCTCCTCCTCCTCCTCCTCCTTCCCCCTCCTCCTCCCTCTCCCCCTTCCTCCCTTTCCCCTCCTCCTCCTTCTCCCCCTTCCGTGAAGGAGAGCCACGGGCGGCAGAGTTGGCCCACCTCCCACGTTCGCCTCGGGGATGCCTCGAAAAAAACACCAGAAACACGGCTCCACCACCCGCTGCGCTTGGGTGGGGGGGGGGCTGAGCACTGGCCACCCCCACCCTCCCCACAGCACCCCGACACGACGTCGACATTCCGGCCCAGCGATGAGCCTGGGGCACACGCGCGCTCGAAGAGCCCCCAGTCGGAGCGGCCCTCCTGCTCGGCCTCTGTGGGGGTGGGAGGGGAAACCGAGGATGAGAAAGGGGAGGACAAACGAGGGGGAACGATGGGGCACAAGGAGGATGAGGACTAGGAAGAGAAGGTGAGCTGTTTGGGAGCGACCTAAAATCTAAAAAAACTGTTAAAACAACCCCCCTCGGAATCTGAGGACGCCTCATCCTCGCACTCCTGGGGGGGCCTGGCGGATGCCTGCCCAGCGCCACCACGTCCACCACAGTCACGAAAACATAGTGACGTCCAATGGTCTCAGTTGGATCCTTGGAAACACCTTTAGGGCGCTGGGGCCTCCGGACAACCAATGGTGACCAACGACCCGTCCCAGGGATGGGGTCCAGAGCTTTGGTGGCCCACGCAGTGAACAAATATCGTGAAGTGGGGATACTGGGAAGGCGGATGGGGAGGGGAGGGGAGAAGGAGGAGGATCATGACGGATAAGAAACAAGCGGACGGGGATGCGGAGTCGTGAGAGGGTGAACGTACGCGTGAGAGGGAGAGGCGGACATGCGAAGGGTGAGAAGAGGAGGCAGGGGGACAGGAGGGAGGAAGGACGAGGCAGAGGAGATGGGAACGAAGGCGGGTGAGGCAGATGATGGAGAAAGGGTAAAGGAGGAGGAGGAGGAGGAGCAGGAGGAGGGGGGGGAGGAGGAGGCGCCGAAGGCGGAGGAGGCAGGAGGCAGGAGCGCCGGCCAAGGCGGAAGAGCAGGAGGTCTCGGTGGAGCCGGAGCAGGAGCGAGCGGCAGCGGCGGCAGGCAGGGGGGGGAGGGGGCAGGAGCGGCCTGCGGCACGGTGGGCACCCGCGGCCTGGGCCGCGCCAAGCCCTCGTCCTGAGGCTCCTCGGGCTCTTGCGGGGAGCAGCAGGCACGCAGATCGGCCCAGCGTGGCCAGCCCCGCCCGCTCTGCTCCCTCCTCCTCCTCCTCCTCCTCCTCCAATTTCGCCCGCCTCCTCGCCTTACTGCTCCTCCGCCTCCTCATTCCCCTTCGTAAGCAAACTCGTCCTCCTCCCCCTCCTCCTCCTCCTCCTCCTCCTCCTCCTCCTCTCCTCCTCCTCCTCCTCCTCCTCCTCCTCCTCCTCCTCCTCCTCCTCCTCCTCCTCCTCAGCAACGTAGCCCTCTCTATATGTACACGTTCTCTCTCCTCTTCCTCATCCTCCCCTCTCCGTCGTTCTTCTCCACGCAGTGGTTGCACACGGGCTTTTCTTGGCCAGTGAGGACCCAGCCCTCTGTGGCGCAGCTGGGCAACTCTAGTCGGTGACAGATCGCTGGTGCCCGGTGCATTGGCGCCTCATCCATGCTTGGTCCGGTGCGTTGCAGTCGGCCATTCCTGGTCGGTGCCCTATATGGATGGTGCCCTCTGCGTTGGCACCCAATACAACACGTCATAAATGGCACCCCCTAGAACGCACGCCAACCTCCTCCTGCTTCGCTTCCCCCAACTTCTCAAAACCATCTTCCTCCACCTCCTCCATGTCCTCCTGCGCCACCTGCTCGTTTTTAATACGTCGCCGTCGCCGCGCCGTCGCCGCCCGTCTTATGGGCCTGGCTGTTGGTCGGCGGCTACGTCGTCACCGCTGCCGCTTCGTCGCCGCCTCGTCGCCGCTCGTCGTTTGGGCAATAGATTTTCCTTTCCAAAAAGAGAATAGACTCTACCACCCCCGGCGTCATCGGTCCCCCTTTCGGGTACGTAAATCAAACATGATTCTGACCACATGTCCATCCGAAATATGAATTTACACTATCCCCGGGGGGCCAGGAACGGTCCCCCTGAGGTTCCCTTTTAAAAAACCCATGCGCGGGGACACTTTTTGTTCTAAGATAATACTTTGTCGCGAATCCCTTGCGAAAAATGTGACGAAGTGCACACGCGCGCGTCGGCACGCGCGCGCATGCCGAAATCCTTCAAAAACCTGCGGTGTCGGAAGGATTTCGCAATCGAGTTTCCAAAACACATACAAAAACACATGGTTTCGCAACACTCATTTACTAAATTATCCCAGTGCGATCCTACCTAGGTGTTGGAGCATTCAGGAAAACAACATCTACATCTACACCGACAGCTAAAGTTACATCTACACCTGCATCTACATCTACATCAACATCAACAGCGAGACTCACATCTCCATCTACATCTACACCTACATCTACACTTACATCTACATCTACATATATGCTATCATTTGCTGTGCTATGCTATGCTATGCTGCGCTGTGCTATGCTAAGCAATGGTATGCTATGTTATGCGATGTTATGCTGCGCTATGCTATGCTATGCTATGTTATGCTAGGCTGAGCTATGCTTGGCTATGCTGTGTTATGCAATGCTTGGCTATCGTATGCTATGCTGTGCTGATGCTGCGCTGCGCGATGCTGCGTTGCGCAAAGTTAAGTTAAGGCAAGCTAAGATATGCTAAGCTAAGCTAAGTTAAGCTAAGCTCGGCTAGGTTTGGCTAAGCTAAGCTAAGCTAAGCTAAGCTAAGCCAAGCTAAGCTAAGCTAAGCTAGGCTAAGCTATAGCTAAGCTAGGCTAGGCAAAGCTAAGCTAAGCTAAGATGAGATAAGCTAAGCTAAGCTAAGCTAAGTTAAGCTAAGCTAAGCTAAGCTAAGCTGGGCGAGTCCAGGGGGCGCAACTGGGGGTACCGCGGGGCGGATGCCGGGGGAACCGCCCGGGGCGATATCCACTGCCCGGCCCCTTTAAGCACAGACGGTAAAAACCCTTCTAGGCAGAGCCGAGGTAGGGAAAAAGCTTACGCGCGAGCTCTTGCGAAATCTTGAGGAAACTATATGTTTTTTTTTTGGAGATTTTCACAAAATGCTACCAAACGGGCTTCGCGCGCGCATGTCGAAATCTGTCGAACGCCTTTGCGCGTGTGCCGTCGCGAGAATCCTCTGCAAAAAACAAAACGTAGTGCCGACGCGCGCGTCGTCGCGCGCGTATGCCGAAATCCTTCAAAACCCATCGGTTTCGGAATGATTTCAAAATCGTGTGTCCAGAAGCCCTACAAAAACACAAGGTTTCGCAACACGGATGTTCAACATAAGCGTGCGCGCGCGCTCTTGCGTCATCGTCGTCGTCGCCGTCCTCCCTCCTCCCGCGTCGTCGTTGTCGCCTACGTCGTCCTCTGTCTATCCTCGTGTTCGTCGTCGTCGTCCTCTTTGGCGTCGTGGTCGTTTCCGTCGTCGTTGTCGCCGTGGTCGTCCTTCCTCCTCCTCCCTCGTCGTCGTCGTCGTCCGTCGTCGGCGTCTCGTCGTCGTCCCTCCTATTTCGTCGCCGTCGTCGTCGTCGTCGTCTTCGTCGTCGTCGTCGTCGTCGTTGTCGTCGTCGTCGTCCTCCCTCCTCCCTCGTCGTTGTCGTCGTCGGCGTCGCCGTCCTTCCTCCTTCTTGGTCGTTCGCGTCGTCGCCGTCCTCCCTCCTCCCTCGTCGTTGTCGTGGTTGTCGTCGTTGTCGCCGTCGTCGTCCTCCCTCCTCCCTCGTCGTCGTCTTCGTTGGCGACGTCGTCGTCGTTTTCGTCGTCGTCGTCGCCGGCGTCGTCGTCATCTTCGTCGTCGTCGACGTCGGCGTCGTCGTCGCCGCCGTCGCCGTCGTCGTCGTCGTCGTCGTCGGCGCCGTCGCCGTCGTCGTCGTCGTCGGTGTCGTCGTTGTCGTCGTCGTCGGTGTCGTCATCGTCGTCGTCGTTGTCATCGTCGTCGTCGTCGTAGTCGGCGTCGGCGTCGTCGCCGTCGTTGTCGGTGTCGTCGTCGTCGTCGTCATTGTCGGCGTCGTCGAAATCGTTGGAGACGTCGTCGGTGTCGTCGTAGTCGTTGTCGGCGGCGTCGTCGTCGTCGTTGTCGCTGTCGTCGTCGGCGTCGCTGTCGCTGCCAAGTGCCATTTGGTACCCACCGTCACGGTCTCAAGAGATTTTGCGAACCAAGTTGCGGGTGGGTAGGTGGGATGTTTGCGCGAGCAGTGGAGTGGACAACTCACTGCGAACAAAAATTCATTCTCCTTTACAAAAACAGAACAGGATCTACGCCCCCTGGCGTTATCGGTCCCCCTTTCGGGTATGTAAACACCTCTGTCCATTCTACATTGGCCCAGTGACACTGCGAAGCAGACGTGAATAGTTTTTCCAACATGCATCAGGCGAGCACTGCAAAACATTCCTTCCGAAGCTTGCATATCGATTGCAAAAAAACGCTGAGGAAAATGCAAAGGCCTTAGCACAACTGCACCCCGAGGGAGGGTGAAACAGGGAGGGAGACTTGAGCGAGATGGTTACAGACCAACAAGCGGGCCACACCGAATTGAGAGATATAACAATCAAAGATTATAAACACCTCTGTCCATTCTACATTGGCCCAGTGACACTGCGAAGCAGACGTGAATAGTTTTTCCAACATGCATCAGGCGAGCACTGCAAAACATTCCTTCCGAAGCTTGCATATCGATTGCAAAAAACGCTGAGGAAAATGCAAAGGCCTTAGCACAACTGCACCCATACCGACATTGATTACTGGAGGGCCTCTTGGAAACACTGAAAAATGGAGGCCTCCGCTGCTGCAGCTCGTCTTGCGAGCTCTGGCGGGAGGCGAGCAGCCTGAAGCAAGAGGCGGCCGCTCTTCTCATATCGTTTCACAGACTTGGGATGAGCCCACCTGCCACGCTTCTGCACCATGCTCAGGCTGCGAGCGCCTGTCAGAACATCATGGGATGGCGCCGAGTGGCGTGCAACGTGCGGCGTCAGGTGGCCAGTCTTACCTAAGACGGACCGGCTGTACTGTCTAAAAAGAGCCTCATACTTGGCCAAGGACAGGTTCGGGAACACCAGATCCTCTGGGCGCGAGCTCGACGAGCGCCGCCGGGCCCACATCTCGAGGACCGAGCCGACCCAGTCTCGGCCCGGCGAGTTGAGCACCACGGTGTCGTCGCACTCGCCTGTCTTGGTGGTCTCACCAAGGTCTGAGTTGCCGATAACAACGGCCCAGCGGCCTCGGGCTAGACGCGACGATGATGACGAAGGGCGAACCACCGAGCACCACCGTAGGTCGCAGATCTCTGAGGGTCTCAGGTAGGCGTCCAGCTGGATGGCTAAGGCTATTGCGGCTCCGATGTGCTTGTCTTTCATAAAGACTGTCATGAACAGGAAGAAAACTGACAGCGGCCATGGGTGGCGAGACGAGCCAGGAAATCTTCGGGTCCAGCCTTTCATAGCCTCCCTGGCCATCATGAGGCGGGCAGACTTGGCGATGTCAGAGCGCGGGAAGAAAGTCAGGTAGCCCCAGAGAGCATAGCGGCCCTCAGCTGGGTGTCTTGCATCACTCATCAGCTTGTCAAAATACTTGCACATTAATTGGTCAATCTTGGACTCGGGTGCCTCCTTCAGGTCCTCATCACCTCGCGTGGCCCAGTCGAAGAAGTCACGAACTGCGGCGCCATACCGCTCCAAGGAGATCGCGGTGACGGAACCAAAACGGGCCACGCCTCCATCAGCAGGGACAGGGGCGCGGGGCCCGAAGTTGAACGTGTGACCCTTGATGGGCTCCACGAACTTAGAGGCGCGGCAGCGACGGCCAGCGACCTTTTGGGCCTCTCTTGGCGCGGGCCGCCTGCTTTCGAGCCGCCTCGAGGTTGGAGTCCTGGCCAAAGACGATGAACGGCCGGAGGTGGTCGTACCGGCTCTCGAGGGTGTCTGGGTCGGCGGCTGCAGAGAGCCCGAGGTCAGGCTCCGCTTGGAGCCGCTGCCGAGCCGGCCTGAGGCGCTCTCGGGCACGCGAAGCTGGCCGCTGCGAAGCATCCCGGAGCTGTGCCTCCAGGTCTCCGCCGTCAGCAGCGTCCAGGTCGCCGCGGGCGCCGGCAGGCGCGGTCAGAGCGGCCGCCTGAGCCCATGCCTTGCAGAGCCTGCGGGGGTAGGCTCCCGCTCCAGCGGTCCGATTGCGTCTGACCCGAGCCCCAGATGGCAACGTAACTGTCTCGAAACCCCTGAGCTCCACGTGCGTGTGGTCTCTGGAGCACTCTGAGCTCAGGGATGACAGGGCAAAGAAATTCGTGAGGATCTTAGTCCGCTTCAAGTGCGGGGCCCCATAGCTGCAGTGCACGAGAAAAATCTGAATCACGTCGGGAAGGTTGGTGAGCTCTCGAACGGGGTCAAAATCCCAGAGCCTCGAGGTCCTCGGGTTCTCAATACTCCAGAAAACTCCATGTCTTGAACACTCGTAGGCAACACGACAGCTGAATAAAGCCAGAGCCACACCAATACGTTCCTTGTGTCGGGCTCTCTCGAGGTTGACCATACCGTGGCGAGCCCTAGACCAAATACAGCAGGGGGTACCCATATGTACATACCAGAAAAGCCCTTTTCGAATACCCTGTAAGATAACGAGCTGCACCACAGGATCCAGGAGGTCATAGTGGGCCCCGTCCTTGATGTCCATCCCGGGGAAGGTCTTCAGGCCGAGCTCCTTGAAGGCCTCCGAAAGCCCGCCCTCGCCCGAGAACAATTCCAGGAAGCCCTGGCCTCGCTGGGCCCGCCTCAGAAGTTGAGCATGCCCAAGACGCAGAGGGGGTGCGGCGGCTTGGCTGATCACCGAAGGTGTTGTGGTGGAAGACGGGCAAGAAGACCGATGAATTGTTTCAGCGTGCGGCCCGCAACCCTGCACTTCTGGCTGTATGTCACACTCGGCCCCGGCGGACGGATGCCCTGCGAGGCCGAGACCAGGAGGCAGCGAGCCCACTCCCACCACAGTGCTCAAGGGAGAGGGAGAAGTAGAAATTGTTGGGGCATCGTCGTGAATATGTTTATGATGACCTTTGTCGGGAGAGGAGTGTTCAAACCGACGCGAAGGGGCGTCGGCCACATTGTACTTCGCGTTGACATATCGAAGTCTCCATCGCACCCTACACCCTATCGTGTAGGCCGCCGCGCGCCGGCACTGTGCGCTCAGAGCTGCTGAGCGGCTAGACCGCCCTTTCTCCAGGCAGCCAACACAAACCATGGAGTCGACGATAGAAACCAAGCGGCGTCCGCAGTTGCTGCGGACGCGACAGGCATGGCGAAGGCCCATCACAGCAGCTCGGGTCTCCTTCACATTGATGTGCTCGCTCGGCCAGCGCCACCTCTTCGCCGCCACCAGGCGGAAGCCCTCGGGTTCGCACCACGCGGCCGGGAGCGGTGGCGCAAGAGGTCCGGTCTGCGGTGGCAGGACCTCCAGATCGCCCTCACGCCAAGAGGCGTGGCACTCCCGGCGGCGGCGGCGCGGCTGGTGGGCCCCCGCCGACGGCGAGCCCTCCTCCGCCCGGCGCTGCAGCCACTGGCCGAAGGCGGTCGCGGGCGCCGTGCCGCTGCAAGGCGAGGAAGACTGACAGCGAGGCTCGATCTCATAGTCCAGGGACCGGTCGATCACGTCGCCGTACCCCCCCATGTCGGCAACATCAGTCGGAGGCACAAGACCCACGCGCGGCCCTCGGAGGTGCTGCCTGAAGCTCCACTTCTCCTTCCAGCGGAAGGCCGAGCGCAGGTCGCCGAGCGAGGCCCTCTTGTACATGAGCCCGTACCCGTGGTCGGCGGAGTCGCTGGCGTACACGTGCGGCACGTAGGGCGCTGCCAGGTCGACCTCCGCGAGCCAGACCAGCCCGACCACGATGCGCATCTCCTGTCTGACCTCGCTAGGCAAGACAGTCCGCATGCCCCAGGCCTCCTCCGCAAACCGGTAGACGGCGGACAGCGCAGCGTAGCCTGGCCGGGCCAGCATCAGCAGGGAGACCGCGTGGCCCAACCAGACCTCCATGTGTTCACCCCGCATCTTACCCCGGGCCAGCAGCGCCCGGGTGGCCAGGTCGAACCTCCAGACTCGGGAGGCCTTGTTGCGCAGGCGCCCTTGCTTCAGATCAAGCTCGATCCCCACCGTCTCCAGATGAGTGACGACGTCGGGGTACGACCAAGTGATGGGGAGACCACAGCGCTCCGCCTCGTCGCGAAGGGCGGCACTGGCCTCACGGGCCACAGCGGCAGTCTTACCCAAGACGGTGATGTTATCAACGTAGACGCTGCCCATGACCCCAGACTCGTTGAGGTCAGGCGCTGGGAGGTGCTCCCTCACCATGGCCGGCTCCAGAGTCGAGCAAGGCCGAAGGGCGCGGGAGGTCATAGCTGACACGGCTTCCTGAGCGAAAAACAAGGCCCAAGACCAGCCCATGCACATGGCGCGCATGCACGGGCACAGCACGACGTCGTCAGTCGCCGCAACCATCCTGTGGAGATCTGGGTCCCAAAAAGAGCCAATGTTGATGCCGTAGGTGTCCCTGATAGTGGCAGCGGGCAGCGGGTCGTCGAAACCGAACCACTCAGCCAGCCCGTCTATTGAAAAGTTATAGAAGCAATCCTCGACGTCCGCCTCGTTCCCGTGGGGGTCCCAGCCGACGACGCTGCCGACGCCGCCGAAGGAGCCGTTCCCGTCGGAGAAGTCGAGGTCCGCGAGGGCGCCTGCTGACCCAAGGCGAGTGGTCGGAGGCGCACGGTGGCAGGCGTTGGCCTGCCTCGCATCAACTATCATTCTGATCTCGCCAGGTTTCTTTTTCTTCACAAAAAATAAGGCGGCTCGAGCGCGAAGACGGGGCCTGAACGTGATGAGCCCCAGCTCGTACAGCACTCGGAACAGCCTCCATCGCTCCAGTCGGCTAGAACGAAGCACTGGATCCCAGTAAGGCTTGATGGGATCAGTTGTCTGACGTGTGAACTCCATCTCCCCCTCATCCTTCTCTATGTACTGCGCTGGGTTCCGAATCATCTCCCCAGCCAACGGAGGAAGGAAGTTGGCCACAGACCGCGGCCGGGCGCGTCCCTTGGCAACCTTGAGCTTTGTCAGGTCGAACGGCGCTAGGTGCTTCGGCTCCTGGCTATACAGGTCCTTCGAGGCCAGCAGCTCGCGCGCGGCCCCCTCGGCTGTGAGGCCTGGCGGGGGGGGCCCCACGGCGTCGACGCGCTCCACGATGCTGTCCAGAATCCAATCCTGAACGGCAGTAGGGGCCCGAGCTGGCTGACGAGCCTGAAAAACTGAATCTGAATTCGGCTGGGCAGCAGCGAGGTGGTTGAGCGAAGCCCGTGCCAAAGAAGCCCGCTGTTGCTGCTCGAAGTTGCCACCCATCTTGCTGAGCTGGGATGGCGAAAAATGCGGCAAGGGGAAGGGATCCCCATGCCTCCGTCTTGAAGGCCTCCACCTGGTAGGTTGTCCCCGATCTTGAGTGACCGCGCCGGGCCGAGCTCGGGGTTCAGACTCGGCCCGGAAAGCCTCGGTCACCCCGAGCCTCCCTGCTCCTGGTCGTCCCTGCTGCCCTTGCCGCGGCCACGCCCGCGGCCGCGTCCGCCTCCCTTGCTGGGGTCCACCGAGGTGCGGGCAGCCTGCAGGGCGCGCTGCTCCTCGTTCCAGAGGCGAGTCTGCTTGTAGATCGAGGCGCGCTCCTTCAAGCGGGCAGTGACCCACTCTGTGAATCTGTCCGTGCTGGCCTGGCCCTGCTCCGAGACCGGAGCGTGCAGCACAATGTCGAGCCCGCCGTAGTCTGGGTGACGAGGGTTGCGCGAAACGGCCGTCTCGTCCTGACAGATCCTGCGCATGGCGAGCTCGAAGCTCATCAGGTTGGAAACGTCCAACTGATCGACTTGGATGGCCAGCCGCACGATCTCGCACATCACGAAGTGGATGTGGGCCACAGCTGTGCCCTCTCCGACGCCCGAGCGTCGCGTCCACTGGCTATGGTAGGTGGTCAGGTCGCCCGGCCCATCCCGAACAGAAACAAGCCACTCCTTTGCGATCCGAGGCCCAGGCATGTTCCAGTCCTCAAACGAGGTCTCCCTCATCATGGAGACGCCCTCGGTGAGAGTGAGATGGCGACGACCTGAGGCGTCACGGTGATCACCCAGCACGCGTAGGTCACCCGCTCCAGCTTCACGTTCGGCCTTCCACTTCTCGATCTTCGCGCGATCTGCCTCGATCTTCTCCACGAAGACCTCCAGGCCGTTGACTAGAGCGACCCCCTTGGTCTGCCCCAGCGTGGCCTGCTCCACCTCCTGGTCGGTCAGGGTCTGCGCGAAGCGGAGGTGGCCCGCCTCTGAGATCACCCAGGCAAAATGCTCGATCTCCATGTCGGCGTCGCCGTCTCCCAAAATTGCTGCCTGCACCGCCGCCTGCCTCTTCAGAGCCAGGATGTCTGCCCGCGGCACAGGGTCGAAGCCGTAGACCTGCGCACGAATGTTGGCGGGGAACATAGCATTGCGATCCAAAACCTTATGTCGCTGCTCCAAAAGATTGTGACGAACGAGTTCTAAGTCGGGAGTGGCAGCGATCCAAATCCCTGGTGCAACTTCTTGACCAAAATGCGCTGGTGCCAGAAAAGCCCTCCTGCGTCATCTGGATAGTGCACCAGAACCTGGGGTTCTGGAATGTCCAACGTATCCATCTCGAATACTCTTAGGCGTAGCTGGTGCTAACGGCGCCGATGCAGGTGAAGATGTCGAAGGAGATCCCGAAAGGGCCTTCAGAGCCCGCGTGGTCAGTCCACGCAGCACGAAGATGAAGAGGATGATGGCCCAGCCCACCAACACGCCGATGGCCGCGCCCACGGCCAGCCAGTAGCTCCACGGGCAGTCAGGCGCAGCTGCCTCCGCCGGGCACCGCGCCGGGCTCTCTGCCGACGCCACCTGCGGCCCGCAGACGCAGGACGGGCAGGCGGGGCACGACGGGCAGGACCCACACGTGAGCGATGGCGCCGTCGGGCAAGGAGGGGCTGTCGGGCAGGTCGGAGCCGCTGGGCACCGACCGAGGTACGCTAACAGACCGTTGGCAGCGAGGTCCTGGAGACGCTGCTGCCACATCGGCCCTCAAGACTTGAGCGAGATGGTTACAGACCAACAAGCGGGCCACACCGAATTGAGAGATATAACAATCAAAGATTATAAATCAAATATGATTCTGACCACATGTCCATCATAACTATGAATTTACACTATCCCCGGGGGGGCCGGTATCCCTCCCCTTGAGGTTCCCTTTTAACAAACACTATGCGGTGACATTTTTTGTTCTAACATAACACTTGTGTTGCGAATCCCTTGCAAAAAAAACGAAGTGCACACGCGCGCGTCGTCGCGCGCCCATGCCGAAATCCTTCAAAAACCTTCGGTGCTGGAAGGATTTCGCAATCGAGTCTCCAAAAAACATACAAAAACACAGGGTATCGCAACACTGATTTGCTAAAAAAGCTTCCGCGCGAGCTCTTGCGAAATCTAAAGAAAACCATCGGTTGTTCAAGATTTTCACAAAATGCTATTACACGGGCTTCGCGCGCGCATGTTGAAATCTGTCGAGCGCCCTTGCGCGTGTGCCGTCGCGAGAAACCTCTGAGAGAAAAAAAAGGGGGCCGAAGTGCAGACGCGCGCGTCGTCGCGCGCGTATGCCGAAATCCTTCAAAACCCATTGGTTTCGGAAGGATTTCAAAATCGTGTGTCCAGAAGCCCTACAAAAACACAAGGTTTCGCAACACGGATGTTCAACATAAGCGTGCGCGCGCGCTCTTGCGTCATCGTCGTCGTCGTCGTCGTCGTCGTCGTCGTCGCCGTCCTCCCTCCTCCCGCGTCGTCGTCGTAGTCGTCGCCTACGTCGTCCTCTGTCTTTCCTCGTGTTCGTCGTCGTCGTCCTCTTTGGCGTCGTGGTCGTTTCCGTCGTCGTTGTCGCCGTGGTCGTCCTTCCTCCTCCTCCCTCGTCGTCGTCGTCGTCCGTCGTCGGCGTCTCCTCGTCGTCGTCGTCCCTCCTATTTCGTCGCCATCGTCGTCGTCGTCGTTGTCGTCGTCGTCTTCCCTCCTCCCTCGTCATTGCCGTCGTCGGCGTCGCCGTCCTTCCTCCTTCTTCATCGTTCGCGTCGTCGCCGTCCTCCCTCCTCCCTCGTCATTGTCGTCGTTGTCGCCGTCGTCGTCCTCCCTCCTTCCTCGTTGTCTTCGTTGGCGACGTCGTCGTCGTCTTTGTCGTCGTCGTCGGCGTCGGCGTCGTTGTCGTCGTCGTCGTCGTCGACGTCGGCGTCGTCGTCGTCGTCGCCGCCGTCGTCGTCGTCGTCGTCGGCGTCGTTGACGTCGTCGTCGTCGTCGTCGGTGTCGTCGTTATCGTCGTCGTCGGCGTCGTCATCGTCGTCGTCGTTGTCATCGTCGTCGTCGTCGGCGTCGGTGTCGTCGTCGTCGTCGTCGTGTCGTCGTCGTCGTCGTTGTCGGCGTCGTCGAAGTCGTTGGAGACGTCGTCGGTGTCGTCGTAGTCGTTGTCGGCGGCGTCGTCATCGTCGTTGTCGCTGTCGTCGTCGGCGTCGCTGTTGTTGCCAAGTGCCATGTGGTACCCACCGTCACGGTCTTAAGAGATTTTGCAAACCAAGTTGCGGGTGGGTGGGTGGGATGTTTGCGCGAGCAGTGGAGTGGACAACTTCAAGTTGGGCGTTGGTGAATTGCACACCATAGATTGCACATCATCACTTGGTCCACGTGGACTGCACAAGGCGTATTGTGCCGCATATGTTGCAAGACATAGATTGCACCACATGTTTTCTTACCACAGAATGCACATGCACAATCTATAATGCACATCATAGGTTGCACAACACATATTGCATCACATCGATTACATCAACTAGATTGCACCACGCGTACTGCACCACATAGACTTCACCACATGGAGTGCACAGCACATATTGCACCACATGTATTGCACAAGTTGTATCGCTCCATGCAGATTGCCCAACAGAGAGTGCACCTCATAGATCCTCCGTTCCAAACGAATTGACAGTTCGGTGCGGCAGCTTAGAACGTAGGTCTAAAGGGTGAGGGGTCAGAGAAAGATGGAGGGGCACGCTCAAGCCTTTTTTGCTCGCAGCGCGCGAGCCCCTCTCTCTTCGAAGGGAGGAGAACCCTCCCTGCGGTGGGTGCCACAGCCATGGCGGCAGCTGCCTGGCTCGCGGACCCCGGCGCTCGCGGCCGTCCTGCGCTCGGGCGCGGGCGCGGCCGACGCCGCCGGGCCGCCCCCCCCCCCCCGCGGCGCGCGCTGCAGCCGCGGCGCCCGCCACGGACGCAGTCTCTCTCCTCTCCTGGGCCGAGGTCGCGGAGGAGAGGGATTACGCCTACGACGATCTCGAGCATATCGCCGCCTCGGGCTTCGCGAAGCTCGATGATGCGGTCTCCCTGGTGGCCATGACCGACGGCCGCGACGGGCCGACAGCTGCTGAACTCGTTCGGGGAGTCGAGCAGGTGGATCTTCCCATGGACGTGTTGCCCACGGAGGTGACGCCATCGCTACCAGTTGCGGCCCAGCCGCCGCAAGGAGCCACCGCCGAGCATTGCGAGCACTAAGGAAACTACTACGGGGCGGAGCGGGGCACGCTGCGCTACATGACCGCGGCCCAGCTCGTCAGCCACACCGCGCCAGGCATCACCGCCGAGGACGACGAGGACGATGGCAACAACGAGGACGAGGAGGCGGACGGCTACGAGGAGATGGGAGAGCCGCCAGCGCCAGGCCCTGAGCAGACCCTCGGCTGGCTGCCAGCCTGGATGCCAGCCTCGGCTGGCTGGCTGCCAGCTGCCAGCCAGGCTGGCTGGCTGCCAGCCAGGCTGGCTGGCTGCCAGCCTGGATGCCAGCCTCGGCTGGCTGCCAGCCTGGAGGCCGGTCCCCGCCCCACCCGCGGCCGCCCCCGCTGGGACTGCCGCCGCCGGGAGCTGGACTACCGGTCTGTGGGCCCGTCTGGGCCGCGCGGCTGCTGCAACTAGCCCCGCGGCAGGGCTCCTCGGGAAGCTGCTCCGCCAGGCCTGGGGGATGGCTTTCGGGGAGTATGCGCCGATCATCTGGACCTCTGCCCTGGTGACCCTGGGATGCCTGTGCTATCATCGATTGGGGGTCGGGGCTGTCGGGAGTGCGCCGTCGCAGTCGACACCCTTCTGTTCGGCCCTGCGCGGACCTGCCTGGGATGCTGGCGGCGCCGCTGCCGCCCGGCCCCCCCAGGGTCGCCCCCGCCGCCTCCGCTGGAGTTGGTCGGGCCTGGGACTTCGCGCCCAGTCGACAACGCAAGGTACAGCGAGGTGCGGGCCCGAGGGGCCAGCGGCCACCCCCGGCACCTCATCTTCGTCGTGAAGGGTCAGGCCGCGCGCGTAAGCCGAGGATCGAGAGCAGGAGCCCCAGCCCGCGTGTCAGGCCTCATCTACGACTACGAGACGGTCTGGGGTTCATCTTCGGGACGTCTCCGACGCTACCTGAAAATGGCCCTCAACAAGAGGCTCCACCTGTGTCGCGAGGCGCCGTGCCGGGACCTGGGCGAGGACGCGCTGCACCTCGACACCTACAACCTCGGTCCCTTTGGAAAGTTGCAAGAGTGTCACGGATTTCCAAGGTCAACGTATCAGAAATGGTGTTTGGGGAAAAGTTCAGGACTAGGAGGATGCAATAGTTACGTTGATTCGCAGTACTGAAGTCCCAAGAATGGTGTTCTGGCACGATTCAGCATCGTCAATATGCAACAATCAGGTTGATCCGTGGCGTTGGAGTCCCGAGAATAATGCTTCGGCATGCTTCAGGGTCTTCTAGCGGTTGTCTTCCAATGAGGCAGTTCCCTCAATGGAAATGCATCCTTGTAGGGGCCTATGAAGAGGGAGCTTGGAGGGAGGGTGTATTCCAACATCGTAAATGACTCTTGGTTTACACTGGTCCTCTTCCTCCTCCTGCTCCTCCTCCTCCTCCTTCGCCCCCCCGCCTCACTCCTCCCTCCAGGCCTGCTGGGCAGAGGCGAGGGGGCGAAGGGCGAAGGGCCTATGGCGAGGAGGCGTCGCAACAAGAAGACGGCGACGACGACGACGACGGCGACGGCCGACGGCGACGACTGTGGAGGCAGCGGCAACGTCCTCCGCGGCGCGCTCCGCCGCGAGCCTCAGGCGCTCCTCGCGGCTCTTGACCATCTGCAAGGTGGCCTTGTTGCGTTGCTTGGCCTCGCGCACCCTGTCGCGCTGCTTGGCCCGTTCCTCTGCGGCCGCGGGAGGGCCCACGACTTCGAGATCTGACAACGGCGAAGAGGCGGCAAAATCATGGTCCGGTGCGTTGTTTAGATATTGCTGTTCTCGGCCCCTAGGAGGCATGTGCGGGCCCCGGGAGGCTCGAACATCGAACCAGGATGAACCGTTAAGTAGTCCAGTGACAGAAGTTTCTGGCTACGGGGGAGGCTGAGGAGGATGCTTTCGAAGCGTCGAACTCCCACTTATGAAAGAAAAGAACAGTTGATTCCCCTGTCCGGTGCACACTGTATTGTTCAATTGAAATGCCCCCCAGGGCTCGCACCCTGTTCTTCACCAGGGAAAATGTTCGTGGTTAAACTGCATTGTTGCTCCCTGGGCGATGCCATCAGCGCATCCTGCCTGATACGTTCCCACAAATTATTCAACGTCGCGCTCTCGCCTGGGACTTCCTCGCAACTTACTTAGGCGGTGCGCTCTCGACGTCCAGGAGTCGCGCTTTCGCGCGAAAGCTTCCCCACGAATTACTCAGGACGCGTACTCTCGCCTGAGGCTTCTTCACAATTTACACAACTTGTTTCAATGCCACGCCAGCCCGACTTTCCCCTGGGGTCCGCACACCCAACACGCCATTTAGGGTCCGCTTGTTCGCCTGGTGAAAAGCCCGCCCGCCGACCGTGAGGGTCTGCCCTCCCGACCCGCCAGTTAAGGTCCGCACGCCCGACCTGCCCGTCAGGCTCTGGCCTCTCGCGTGCTTGGAAGCGCGCCCGCCCACTCTGCTGCACCGCCCGTCCGACACGCCCGTAAGGTCCGCCCGCCCGACCCGCCAGCTATGGCCCGTCCGCCCGCCAGGGTCCGCCTGCCTAAATGGTTGTTTCTTTCTCCGCCCTCTCCTGCTGAATATTTGTACTCATCCTCCCTCCCTCTTGCCTGTTGCCTCCCTCCCTTCTCGGTCCCTTCTCCTCCTCTTCCCGCCTCTTCCTCTTCCTATTTTAAGGACCGCGCCAACTACACGTGACAGGCAAGGAAGGTACACTCCCAGAAGGGGGTACGATCGAAGACGGAGAGGGTGGCTATCAAGATTCGAGGCATAAATGTTGAACGACTCGCACGCAACAAAGAGCGAATGGACTTCAAACGAGTGCTGTTGTTGCTGCTGCTGTTGTTGTCGTTGTTGTTATTGTTGTTGTCGTCATGTTTGGGCCTTGTGGGAGGCCCTCGTCTCCACGGCTGGATTCGTCAAAACACACTCCAGGTGCAGAAGAAGATCGAATATGCGATGGACAGAAACACCTTGTTTCGAATAAATTGGGATTCCCGCCGTGACAATCGAGACAGTTCGTAAACACTGGTGGTCGACCGAGGCTTCTCCGAAGCCGTCTGAGAGTATACATCCGAAACCATGTTGAGACTGAATGGTACAACACCTGCTGGGGCAATCCCAAAACTACCGTGCGACCCAACAACCAACTTCTAGATTTGACGACGGTACGAAATACTCGTGGGAAGGAGGATGAAAAGGAGAAAAAAGAGGACAGCAATTAAGTACGTGTACTTTGTCAATGTTCCCACTCTATCCTCACGCTCTTGCTCGGACCGCTTCCGCTGGCAATCCTCGAACATCATTTTCACCGAGGCCGGTATGTCTTGCTCCTCACGGGCGGCGACCAACCTGACCATGATCGGAAAACACTTGGAAGTACGGCCGATCGCATGGCCGACGTCGTCGTCGTAGTCGGAAAACGCCTCTACAGACGGAAAGAAAGCCTTCGCTGCGGACGTAAATTTCTCCAGCGACCCGTTGCGCCTGGAAGCGAACAGCAGAAACGTGGCGCCAGGGCGCAGCACGCGAGACACCATGCCCAGCAGGGCCGAGTGCAAGAATTCCAGGTAGACGACGTCGGCTGCAACCACCAAGTCGTAGGATCCGCGGGCGGGCCAGTCCTCTATCCTGTCCCAAAGCACTTTCCGGACTGACACGGTGGTGTTCCCAAACGCGTTCGAGTTCAACTGCGTCGACTCCTTGCAGGAGTGCCGGCCAGCCACAGGAAGGGGAGGCTCCAAGCTCCAAGCCAGGCTGTGCCTGGACCGTGAGTGCCCGTTGTGGCTCCACACGCGGGCGCCCCCAGTGAAGATTTTCGAGCTCCCTTTGCTGTGGCTGCCCTGCCTTGAGCGTGCTGACGACCTCCGCGTCCCCGTCCGTCAGCTCAACGTGCGCAGCGCGAGTGCAGGCAGCAATTGCGAGTCCGGCCAAGCCAAGACCGGCCCCTGCGACAAGTACCCGTGCGCCTTTGAAGAGTTTCGGGTGCTTGGTCATGTAGAATGTGAGCGCCTCCTCAGAGGGAGACAGTTTCCGGGCGAAGTCCCCATGCATCAGGGTGGTGCCCGCTCCTTCGGTCGGCTGGCGGAACTCCACCCGCTGGCCCGCCACGTGGTAGGTGAGGCTCTTGTACGTACTATGTTGGCCATGCTCAGCTCCTTCTCGCACTAAGCTGACCGTCCGGCGGAAGAGCTTCCAGTGCGACCACTCCTCGATTGGCTCGCTCGCAGCCGACATTTGGGCCGCGACCTTAGCCAAAATGGCTATGTGAACACGTCGTGCATGAGACGATGGCGTAAGGCGTTGGCCCAGGGGATCCCAGACCAGAAGAGAGGCACCCATGTGATTCAGGCCTTCGGCTCCAGACGTAATCCCTCTGGGCTGGGCGACTCAGTGCAGTGGAGGTATCACTGTAAGACCACCCTTTAGCCGGTGGTCCGAGCCTGTGGGAAAGCCAAACGCGAGACATAGAAGAGACCAACTTCACAAACACGTCCAGACTGCGGCAGTGCAAAACTCGGAAGCGAATCCGTAGGGCCTCTGGGGCAGAGACACAAAAGAGGTCTCGCCTTCAGCCATTCAGATCCGCTGCTCGTGGAGCTCGGCAGCGCAGGCGCCACCAGGCTGAGCATCTCCCCGTTGCCTATCAAATATCTTTCCAGGTGCCCTCTGCTGGCAGATTCCTAGTCGTGGCGCTCGCTGCACACAGTGCGCGGCTGCTCAAAGTGGCCCCGCTCTCCTCACGTCTGGACCCATTCAGGATCCTCGCGCTGTTCCCGCGAGAAGTAGCCTCCCTCGAAACACCAGACCGACTGGGCTGGGCCTACCATTGAGGCAGATCTTCTCAACCTCCCCCCACCAATTCCACATCTCCATCCCTCGTAGGCTGTAAGGAAAGTGAGAGGTGGAGAGAGCGAGAGAGAGAAAGAGAAAGAGAGATACAACTAAACCTACATAAAGAGAGAAAGAGAGAAAGAGAGAGAGAGAGAGACAAAACTAATAAAGGGACATATACATACATATATATATATACATATATATATATATATATAAAATGTATGTGTATCACTACATATACACGCCATATGCATGTAAAAGGCAGAGGGAGCGACATTGACAGCGATACACACATATAGAGGGAGAGGGAACGAGAGAGAGGGAGAGGGATAGAGAGAGAGAGAGAGAGCGAGACACAGATACACACATGGATCGGGACGGCTGGGGGCAAGGAAGAGGTAGGTGACAGACGGGCATGAGGAAGGGAGACGATTCCCAACGAGGACTTGCGAAAAGAAGCCAGGTTCACACCATCAATGAGGCATCGCGCCCTTACTCACAAATGACGCCTCGTAGGCAAGACCCTGCTCTCTAGAGGGGGGAAGGGGCTCAGGATGACAAGCCGATTGATGGGGGGGCTTGGCAGGGCGGGGAGAGGCGGAATCCCCCATGGAGGGGCGGCGCCCCATTCAATCCCATGAAAGCCCGAGCTCCTTCTCGCGAGAACGCTTCTCCCTCACAGGGGGGCATTTCTTACGAGGGCGCCCGTTCCCCCTTGCGCGTACGAAACATTCCATTAAGACGCCAATCGTTCTGCCGCGAGGAGGGCGCCCGGGTGCCTCCTCCATCCAGGTAGTTCCAGCACATCGCTGCGGGCGGCATCTCCTGAAGCGCGGAGGGCTCCCAGCCGGGTGTAGGCTGGTTGGGGAAAGGGTCGTCGATAGGAAAGTACGGCTCTGCGGGCGGGATCGGCCAGATTCGGGGCAGCAACTTGCTACCTCCACCAAGTTCACGACTTCGGGGGCGCCAGGGCGTCCCCCCCCCCCCCGCAAGTTCCTCGACCAACCTTCCCCTTGTACGCTTCTGCGGGGCGACCTGTAGCTAGCTAGGCACCTCGACGATCACAACATTGAAGCACATGTCCTAGTATCAGACCGTCCACGCCCCGTCCTACCCCCACTCCTCTTCGCGGCCACAGAACTCGCGTCGATTGGCCTGCTCAATGTACAGATCGGGAAGAGGGATACGAAGGCGCAGAACGAGGGAGACCGAGGAAGGACTTCCTCCTCCTCCTCCTCCTCCTCCTCCTCCTCCTCCCTCCCTCCATCCTAGGGATACCTACCCCTCCCTCTGACATCCGACGTCGTAAGAAATCACCGCCGGAGCTACGGTCGGAAAGTTCTGCTGAGAGTGTCGCGGCGGTGGGCCCGGCGACACGCTACGCAGTGCGAGCGAGTAGCATGTCGCTCCGCTCCGCGGAGCGGGGGGATGGGAAAAGCTCGGGACGTTCACGCTGTGAGACTCTGGAGCGACGCGCTCAGCACAAACTCTGGACCGTATTGGCACCACCTCTGGAAGTGACTTTAAAATTGAAAAATCCACCTCAGAACAAGCACCCCAAAGAACGAAACCGTTCGAACAGGGCAGGGCTGTTAAATAATCGCCCAGGGCCGCATAGTAAATGCCAAGTATGGGCCAGAAAACACATGACACCACCCCACCTTTGTCCCCAGGGGGCTTAGCGTGTACCAAGAAATCCGGCGTGGGTTTTTGCGTGGTATGCGCCACGGCCTCCGATGAGCCGTAGCGCAACATGGAGGGCCGCAGGTGGGGTGGTGTCGTTTGTTCTTCGGTCGAAACTATGGGGGTCGGGGGGTGGGTCCTCCCTTGAGATCCGCCGGGCAGGCCGAGCTCCCACTCCTCCCCCCCCCCTGCCTCGGCTTCGCGCCAGCGTCCCCCTCCACCAGAGAGTGACCTTTGGCGCGCGGCGTTCGGGGGCCGCGGGGTGGCCAAATCCAAGCACGCAGGCCAAGTGCCTGGGGGGGGGCCCTACGGGCCCGCACCAAAGGCCACCCTGGCGAAGGGTCACTCTTACGCGTGGCCGACCCCCTCGAGAGAACCACGGCCGACAGAGCTGATCCCCCCCCCTCCACCTTCGCCCGGGGGTTCCACGGGTGGGCCGGGAGGGGTTCTGCGCCAACTGAGCCTCCCATACCATCTTATTGGCTCTTGCGAGTCGACTCCAATCGGCGCTGATCGGCGCTAGTCGCGACGCTAATCGACGCCAAATCGGCGCTATCCCATCGATTCCCAGACGCCAATCGACGCTAGTGCACTCCCAGGACGGACTTACGAGGGTATACGAGGCTCCCATCATTTGCTACCGACGGGCGGGGGCACCGCAAGCACGGCATCCGCGCGCCCCTCCCCGGCCACCCCGCACGGGGAGGGGAGGCATGCCGCTCCCGACCAGCGGCACGGGCGCGAGCCTCGGCGGGGAGGCCCAAGGAGAGCACGGCGGTCGCGCGCCGCGCGCGCGGCCTGGAGCCAAGGGATGGCCTGGGCGGCTGCGAGAGGGAGGGAGGGAGGGAGGGGAGGGGTGGCGGAGGGGGCAGGGAGGAGGAGGAGGGAGGAGGAGGAGGAGAGGAGGAGGAGGAGGAGGAGGAGGAGAAGAGAGGAGGAGGAGGCGGAGGAGGAGGAGAGGAGGACGAGGAGGAGGAGGAGGAGGAGGAGGAGGAGCAGGAGGAGGAGGCGGAGGGGGGGGGTAGGGAGGAATGGGGGAGGAAGAGGGGGAGGGGGAAGAGGAGGAGGAGGAGGAGGAGGAGGACGCTTCGTCGCAAACGGAATGCATGCGTTAGAGGGAGAAATGTGCTTTAAGGAAGGACGTGTGCAAACCTCTTTGTCGTCACGTGAACTTCTTGCCCCAAATCTGCATCCATCCCGAAAGAGACGAGGAGTGACCAGTGTGGAGAAGGATGCGGTGCGTTTGCGATACTAGCCTGGGCAAGCATTTGCATGACTACTTTCAGTAGTCACGCAAATTCTGCGCGTGCGAAGGCTCACCATACTCTTTGTTCATTCGGGATGGTTGCACTAGGGCTCCGAACTGTGCGTGACGACAACAAAACATGCGTTGTAGCCTCAAACGTTTGAACATTGCTTTGCTGTTCGCCTCCGTTTGCTTGACTGTTGGTGCTGCTCTTTATCTCCTCGGTGTTACTCTTCTCGTCTCGGCTACGCTCTTATCGTCTCTCCTCCCAGCTCGACTCTCTCGTGGCGGACCTGCGCGCAGCAATGCTGAAATCCAGTCTACTCGAATGATGGTACTGTCTCTTCGGTTTGCTCGTGCAGGCTGCGCTTGTTCGAACAAAGGCTCGCCTGCCACATCTGCTTTGGTCAAGCTCGCCTCTTGGGAGCCGTGCGCGCGCGAAACTCGGCGCGCGAAACGCGAGACTCGGCCGGCCGAGCTCGGCCAGGTAAACCGGGCCGGAAAAACTCGGCTAGACAGTCTCGGCTCGAAAAAACTCGGCCAGACAAACTGGGCCCACGCAGGACTCGGTCGGAGGAACCCGGCCAAAGAACTCGCGGCGGGAGGGAAACCGGGCCAAACTGAACTCGGCCCATGCTGAACTCGGCCCGCCGATCTCGGCCGGCTCTCCGGTTGCAGCGGGTGTTCGCTCTAAACTCGGCCAGGGAAACTCGGCCCAACAAACTCGGCTCGGACAGACTCGGTCGGAGGAACTCGGCCCACGCTGAACTCGGCCAGCAGAAACTCGGCTCGGGGCCGAGTTTGGCTGGGCCGAGTTCGGCTGGGACAAGTTCGGCTGGCCGAATTTCGCTTGGCCTGGTCTTTCCCATTGTCCTACTCCTCCTCCTGAGGGGCAACGATCGGGGGGGGACCGGCATAGGGGGGGGATGCATCGATCTGGAATCGGCGATACATCGCCGATAGATCGGCGATATGCCTCGGATAGTATATCCGCACCTTCCTGCCCAGGTTGGGGCTATCGGGCCCCTATCAGCGATCATTGGGCGATTGGGGGTCGATGCCTATCCCCCCCCCCATACCCATCCGTCCCTATCGTTGCCCCCGACCTCCGCCTCCCGAAGTTTTCCTGGGTGGTCCGGCGGAGCGAACCTCGGGCTCCCCAGGACTCCCCGGGGCCTCCAGGATGGCCCAGGAGGGCCATCTGCCCCAACGGGATTGCGCAGTATTGTCGTCAGCGTCACCCAACGGCCCCCAAGAAGGCTCCAGGAGGCGCCAGAGGGCTTCCAAGGCACCAGCGAGAAGTCCACGAGGCCCTCCAGTAAGGCCAAACAACACTTCAAAAGCAACACGAAGATCTTGGGTGTTTGAGTATGGTGCGTTGGCCGGTCCTCTTACCTCAAGGTGGTTCCGCGAGGGCCGTCGAGGAGACAAAGGGATACGAAAAGAGCCCACCCAGGCGCCCTAGTACAGCCCCAGGAGAACCTCGAGACTGCCCAAGAGGGGGCAGGACAGCCCATGAGAGTCCCAAAGACGGCCCAACAGGGCCCCAAGAGGCCTCCAAGACAGCCTCGCGAGACCATCCACGGCCGAGAGGGGCCCGAGACTGCACCAAGACGGCCCAAAAGGGCCCCAAGACTGCTCAAGATGGTGCCAATGGTGCCTCAATAGGACCCCAATGCGGCCCCAACAGGAACCCAAGACAGCCCCAATACGGTCCTGCTAGGCCCCAGGAGAGCCCCTCCAGGATTAGAGATGACATGTGTCACATGTTATTTTGGGCGTCGCCACACAGAGAGCTGCACTGTCACGTTGGCGAAAGTTGCCGTAGGCAGCTGGAAAGATGAATGTGTCACCCAAGCGGAGACATGAAGACATAAGGCCACGCGCAAATGGCCTCTAAGATGGGATGTCGGCGTCCCATGACACATCACGACTGCACATGCCGAAATGGAGGATTGGAGAGCAGAACGCAGCTGGAACAAAAAAGAAGCATGACGGACTGCCTCGGGATCCACCCAAAGCATTAGAAGCTCGTTCGAGGCACGGATCAGATTCGCACACTACGTGCCGGGCGCTCCCTTATCTCAGCGTGCTGCCTCCGAGACGCAGCCGCGGCCTCACCACGTGCCAACGTCTCCCTCCACCGGCGCAACGAGCGCGGCAACCTCACTGCGCTGACGAAGGAGGCCATGCCCCCACGAGCCCCAGCACAGTCTGCGCCAGGATGCTCGTGTCGAACCGTCGGACAATGACGTCGAGCAGAGAGCCCGGCTCAGCCTCCGGGCACGGCAATATTATTCTCTGCGTCGATACAAAAGGGATATGGAGCTCCTGGCTGAGCACCGTTGTGAGAATCACTACGCCGACGCCCCCGCCGAAAATCTGGGCGAACTGCAAGCCAGAGATAATCTTGCGCTCCAGCAAGGTACCCCCGAACAGCATCGCCGCGAACATAACAGTGGCGGGCACGTATACGTAGCCCGACAGGCCCTGCAACTGCTTGGGGTACCTGTGCCGCCGCTCCCTCGCCGGCCGTCTCCCTGTCCCTCCCCTCCGCCCCCCCCCCCCCCCTTCCACATGCGTCCTGGCGCACAACATTGCTTTGTCCAAGAGCAGTGCGCTGCCCGACTGGCGAGCGGTCAAATGGAGGTCGAGAAATCCACCGTCACCTCATTCTCCTCTTCCTCTTTGATCCCCCTCCGGGCCCTCCAACACGGCACCTGTCTACGACGCATGCAATCCACTCGTCCCCGCTCAGTGCGAGGTGCATCGGGTAGCAGCTCAGAAGTGCCAGTCCTCAGAAGGGAGAAGTGTGCAACAAATCTCTCTCAACGCGCGCGGAAACAGTGCATTATTGCACGGCGCAAGGCACGTGCGTATGTATATATATATATATATATACTAGAACCATCGCGCGCGCTCAGGTTCTAGCAGGCCCCAGGCCTTGTCGAATTCACTGCTCCACTGAAGTAGTGGACCACAGTCCACGCATGCCAATATGCATTCCGAAAGGCCTTCGAGGAAAACGGTTGTGTAGGGGGGCGGAGGCCGTATGGATCGGTTTCCCAGAAGGCCTCATGGGAGCATGGGTTTGGGGGCGTCTTGGGGAGCCTGTTGGGGCGTGCCGTCGCCGTCGCCGTCGCCGTCGTCGTCGTCGTCGTCGTCGTCGTCGTCGTCGTCGTCGTCGTCGTCGTCGTCGTAATGTCGTCGTCGCCTATTGGGGCGCGCCGTCGTCGTCGTCGTCGTCGTCGTCGTCGTCGTCGTCGTCGTCGTCGTCGTCGTCGTCGTCGTCGTCGTCGTTTCGTCGTCGTCGTCGATTCAAGAGGGCACTTGGGGCAACTTTGCGAAACGATCTTCGGAGGGCCACGAGAAGGCGATCAGTCCTGTTCCCAATCAACTTCCCAGACAGCTCTCCTGTAGCATGATGTTACTTCGAAGCCTCCGGAGACTCGTGGGCCCATGATGAAGCATGTCCTCGGACGGCTTTCTGGGGGCATGGTTTGTTGGGGTATGTTGGGGGTCTCTTGGGCGTTCCCTGGGGGCCCCTTGGGGGCCTCCAGGAACTCTCGGGCCCATGATGAACCATGTCCCCGGAAGGTTTTCTGGGAACATGATTTCGTGGGGTGTTGGGGGGCCTCTTGGGCGCTCCCTGGGAGCCCCGTGGGGGTCTCTTGGGGCTTCCTGGGAGCCTCTTGGGCGCCTCACGGGGCTTCGAGGGAGCCTCTTGGTGGCCTCCGGGGGCCTACAGGCGGCCTCTAGGGCCAGAGACCTCGAAATATCGGTTGGCGGTCCCCCTCTGGGCCCTCTCTTGGGGAGCTCTTGGGGCACAGTTAGGTTGTCTGGGGAGCCTCCTGGGCCGTCTTGGGGCCCTCTTCGGGGCCTCGTGGCCCGCCCGTCTTGGAGCGATCTGAGGGGCCTCCGAGCGAGGCCGTGAGGGAGCGCTGGGAAGCGGGGAAAACGAGAACGCCTAAATCCTTCAAAAACCATCACAAAATGAGTGAATCTTGCCTCCCAGGGCCCTCTTGGGGAGCCTCTTGAGTCCGTCCTGGAGCGTGTTGGAGTCCTTGTCGGCCGTCTTGAGGGCAGCTTGGGCGTCTTCGGGGCCTCTTGGGACCGTCTAGGGCCCTTTCGGGACCTCCATTACCCTGTCGTGGCCTGCTTCGGGGCGGGCCCGGGCCGCCTCGGGACCCCTCTGGGCCTTCTCTTGGCGCGCTCTTGGGGCACACTTGGGTTGTCTGGGGAGCATTCTGGGCCGTCTTGGGGCCCTCGTCGGGGCCTCGTGGGCCTGCTTGGAGGCCGTGAGGGAACGCTGGAAAGCGGGAGCAGCGATAATGCCAAAATCCAAAACATTCTGAGAACGAGTGAATATTGCCTTCCAGGGCCTTCTTGGGGAGCCTCTTGAGTCCGTCCTGGAGCGTGTTGGAGTCCTCGTCGGTTGTCTGACGGACATCTTGGGCGTTTTCGGGGCCTCGTGGGACCGTCTTGGGCCCTCTCGGGACCTCCTTAGTAGTGGTAGTTGAAATAATAAGAGTAGCCATACGTTTCATCGAAGTAGTGAAACTTATCGTAGTAGTAGTTGTTGTTGTTGTTGTTGTTGTCCGAGTAGTCGTCGCCGTAGTAGTAGTAGTAGTAGTAGTAGTAGTAGTAGTAGTAGTAGTAGTAGTAGTAGTAGTAGTAGTAGTGGTAGGAGTAGTAGTATTAGTAGTAGTAGTAGTAGTAGTAGTAGCAGTAGTAGTAGTAGTAGTAGCAGCAATAGTAGCAATGGAAGTAGTAGTAGTAGTAGTAGTAGTAGTAGTAGTAGTAGTAGTAGTAGTAGTAGTAGTAGTAGTAGTAATAGTAGTAGTAGTAGTAGTGGTGGTAGTCATGGTGAGAGTCGTAGTTCTAGTCGTAGTGGTAGTAGTAGTGGTAGGAGTAGTAATATTAGTAGTAGTAGTAGTAGTAGTAGTAGTAGTAGTAGTAGTAGTAGTAGTAGTACCGAAAACAGTAGTAGTAATGATAGTAGCTGTAGGCGTAGTAGTAGTAGTAGTAGTAGTAGTAGTAGTAGTAGTAGTAGTGGTAGTAGTAGTAGTAGTACAGTAGTAGTCGTAGCATCAGTAGTACCACTAGTAGTACCCGTCGTAGTTGTAGCAGTACTACTCGTAGTTGTAGTAGTAGTAGTAGCAGTAGTAATCGTAGTGGTTGTAGTAGTAGTAGTAGTAGTAGTAGTAGTAGTAGTAGTAGTAGTAGTAGTAGTAATAGTAGTTGTTGTTGTAGTAGTTGTAGTAGTAGAAGTAGTAGTAGTAGTAGTAGTAGTAGTAGTAGTAGTAGTACTAGTAGTAGTAGTAGTAGTAATTCTAGAAATAATGGTAAAGGTGGTGGTGATGAGGTGGTGGTCGTAGCAGCCGTAAGCGGAAGTAGCTGTCCTAGTAGTGGTAATGAAAATCCTAGACGTAGTAGTAGTAGTAGTAGTAGTAGTAGTAGTAGTAGTAGTAGTAGTAGTAGCAGTAGTCGTGAAGTAGTCAAAATCGCAGTCGCAGTTGTAATCGCAATAGTAGTAGCAGTAGTAGTAGTAAACATAGTAGACGTAGTAGTAAATGTTAATCGTAGAAGTAGTATAGCAAGTAGTGGTAGTAGCAACGGTGGTCGTACCAGTCGTAGTCGTAGTACTAGTAGTAATTATAATGGTAGTAGTAGTAGTAGTAGTAGTAGTAGTAGTTGTAGTCGTAGTAATAGTAGTAGTAGTAGTAGTAGTAGTAGTAGTAGTAGTAGTAGTAGTAGTAGCAGTAGCCGTCGTAATAATAGTGGTCGTAGCAGTAGAAGTAGGAGCGAGCAGTAGTCGCAATCGTAGCCATCGTGGTAATCGTAGTCGCTGTAGCAGCAGTCGTAATCGTCGAAGTAGTAGTAGTGGTAGTAGTGGTAGTAGTAGTAGTAGTAGTAGCAGTAACAATACGAATAGTAGCTAAAATACTGAAGCCCTAGTTGTAATAGCATCGTGGTAAAATGCGCACTAGTGGTCGTAGTAATAAAAGTCGTCGTCGCCAATGTAGCCGTAGTACGAGTAGCCGTAGCCGTAGTAGTAGTAGTAGTAGTAGTAGTAGTAGTAGTAGTAGTAGTAGTAGTAGTAATAGTAGTAGTAGTAGTAGTAGTAGTAGTAGTAGTAGTAGTAGTAGTAGTAGCCGTAGTAGTAATGATAATCTTAGAAGTAGTAACTATAATAATGATAGTAGTAGCAGAAGCAGTATTAAGTGTAGTAGTGGTCGTAATCATAATACGAATAGTCGTAGCAATAGTAATCGTAGCAGTACTAGTAGTAGTTGTCGCCGTCGTAGTAGTGGCTGCGTTAATAGTAGCAGTGGTAGTAGCAATGGCAATGGTAATACCAATACCGGCCGTGGCAGCGGAAACCAAAAAAAATACCAAGAGCCGTCGCAGTGGAAACATCGGTCGCAGTAGTGGTAGTGGTAGTTGTGGCATAAAGAGCAGTAGTGGTGGTGGAAGTGGTAGCAATAGTAGTCGTAATCCTAGTCGTAGCCGAAATAGTAGTAGTAAAGCTTCGAGTAGTAATATAATCAAACATATCGTTTGTTAAAAGTAAAGTAGCCGTAGTAGTAGCAGTTGGAGGTAGTAGTAGCAGTAGTAGTAACAATCGTAATAGTAAAAGAAACAGTAGTGGAAGTAGTAGTAGTAGTAGTAGTAGTAGTAATAACAGTAGTACTAGCTGTAGAAATAATATTCGTAACAGTCGTAATCGCAGTCGAAGCTGTAGTCGCCGTCGTGGTAGTACTAACATCTGAAATCGTAGTAGTACCAGTTGAGATTAGGTAAAAATGAACAGAGTGGTAATAATAGACGTACTAGCACCAATAGTCGTAATAGTAGTAGTAGTAGTAGTAGTAGTAGTAATAGTAGTAGTAGTAGTAGTAGTAGTAGTAGTAGTAGTAGTAGTAGTAGTAGTAGTAGTAGTAGTAGTACTAGTACTAGTACTAGTAGTAGTAGTAGTACTAGTAGTAGTAGTAGTAGTAGTAGTAGTAGTAGTAGTGGTAGTAGTAGTAGTGGTGGTAGTATTTTTTTTGACACCTACGCCACGCCTCCAAAACCTTGGACTGACCAAGGAAACGAGCCAGCAGCGGAGGGGGATGCTGGCCTGAGTCACAGCGCAAATGAAACAGCACGACGAGCGGCCGAGAGGACCTCTGCGTCCAAGTGCCCAAGCTCAAAGCGAACCTGCCGCAACATCTCTCAGAGAGGGGCAGGCGCGCTGGGCCCCAGGAGTGCACTGAGCTGCAAGCGCAAAAGCTTCCTATGGCAGAGACATTGCAACAGGAAGGCTCTCTCGTACCGACTGCCTTCGGCTGAACAAGAGGGACTGCGGACGAGACAGCGCCCTTGCACAAGAGCCACGATGGTCCCAGGAGGTGGAGGGCAGGACGGAGGGACGAGCAACGTACACTCGCACGAGACGCGCGCCCAACGCCAACAAAACAAAAAAAGATGTTGGGGCCAGGAACCAAAGCTCCAGGTCACAGCAACATCAGAAGAGCCACTGTCAGGGTGAAGTCACCCCCGTGCTCGGACCAGGAAGAAGCGCACCCTAGGTGTGCATGCACCTTCCCCCAGAAGTGGGGTGCCTGACACGCGTGCACGACGGACGCACGCACAACGAGATCGCACGCCAAATCAAAGAAAAAGATTCGACCACCCACAAAAGGACGACGAGCCCTCAGTCCCTGGTGCGGCAAGCGCCAGGACGACCGTCGGACTCGCCCCAGATGCGGGGTGAAGCACGGATGCCTGCCAAAAGGGTCAGCCGCATCAGGCCGTGCAGAGAATAAAACGAGACGGCGAACCCTCGCCACAGGGAAAACTCGACCACCCACACAAGGACG